AACTAGAGTTCTGCCCCTTGATAAGAGCTCTCCTTTTTATAGAAGATTTGAGCTGATCTGAAACTAAATCTTGTCTCAGGGAGTACACCTCCCCCCCCCCAATATATTCAGTGTCTTTAATTGGCTTAATTCAGTTGTTTCATTTGGAATAGATACTGCTGTTGTTTTACTTTTTACTTTTAGGGTTGCAGTTTTGAGGCTACTTCTCTCCATGGCTTCTTCAACATCGTCGCCTCTATGGGTTGGCATATTTTTTATGAACACCTGAAATGCTACCCCTAAGCTTTTGAGTTTTCTGATGAGTGACTGACAGATCGACAGTTCATTAAGTTACCCATAATATGAGTTTCTACTAGGGGTGTCACAATACGCCAAGAATGTATCACGATATATTGCAATACAGAATGAATATATTGCAATACGTATCCCAATATATTGTCATAGGAAAGATGTGGTTGATTTTATAATAAGTTGACTTGTTGTCAGGATAATCATAAATAATATGGATCGCAACGATTTAAAGATTTTTGTCAAACCAACCATCGATTACAAAATTTGAACTATTAAAAGCCTGCTTTATGCTTATTGGCAAATCTGTTTTAGTAATTTGCAAAGTTAAAACACCAAGCAGATACATAAAAATATGCTTTTAAAAAATATTGCGATACAGCAATATTTCATCTCTGTATTGTGGTACGATACGATATACTCGTGTATTGCGATATACCTGTTTTCTGATATATTGTGACAGCCCTAGTTTCTACAGTTATAGTTGTCATTATATGCCATTAAAACATATTCATAAGCAGACTGTATCGTTTGTTTCTTTGATCTTACTTCATGTATTTGATAAATATGAAAATGAGTGCCACATTTCGGGGCCACAAACCTATGAAAATGTAAATACTGACAAAAAAAGTTGCTCTTAACCTGGAAAACTCCTTTTGGTTGATTAATCTTCTATAAAGAAGGGAGAATACTCTTTAAAAAAAACTAAGTGGAACTCTTCTTTGTGATTTCAACTTAATGGAGTGGTACCCTTTAACTTAAAGGATTCCTATATATACCACTGCCGAAATTCCAGTATGACTATGATTTTGATTAATCATTTCTGAAAAGAAAACTATACTTAACAGGACTTGTATGACAAATGATAACGATGAAATAAACAAAACATTATCGATGATAGTGTTCTGAGTGTAACAAATTCAGTGGGGCTACACCAGTAATTGAACCCTGGACTTCAGATGGTTACACTATCGCTCTAAGCGATTGAGCTACCTGGTCATTCATTAGAAGTTTTCTGCCCAAACTTTTCTCTAGTTACATGTCCAAATAGATGTTAAGGGGAGGTTACTCTACATACAAACAAGAGGCCCAGAGGGCCTGTATCGCTCACCTGAATATCTAAGCAATCATGGCAAAATATTCTCCAAATGAGATCCGAGGGAATATGGCAGACCCCAATGCCATTTCTTGTGTATGTCTGTATTAGATTTTTCATGTCCAGCAATTTAATGCATGGTTATGGGGGGGGGATCTCAACTGTTTCCAAGCTGTGACTCAGAAACTAGGTCCCTAGGGTTGTGGCCAGACCCCAGGATCAATTCTAATATCATGACTACATTTGTCTCTTTTTGTCCAGCATTTGTATTTATAGTCTTGGGGTGGGGATCTCAACCGTTTCAAAGTTATGACCCAGGGGGTAAGTCTTCAAGGGTGGCGCAGACCTCAAGATCATCCTGGAAGCATATGTGCATTCATCTCTTTATACTCAGCAATTGTATATATGCATGGTTATAGGGTGGGGATCTCAACTGTTTCCAAGCTGTGACTAAGAAACTAGGTTCCTAGGGGTTCGGTCAGACCCCAGGGTCTATTCTAATACCATGACTACTTTTCTCTCTTTATGTCAAGCATTTGTATATATAGTTCTGGGGTGTGGATTTCAACCGTTTCAAAGTTATGACCCAGGAACTATGTCTCAAAGGGTGGGGCCAGACCCTAGGCCATCCTGGAAGCAAATGTGCATTCTTCTCTTTATACTCAACAACTGTATATATGGTTATACTCTGGGGATCTCAACCATTTCCAAGTAATAAACTTTTTTTGGCCCCACCCCTTAGCACGGAGGGGTCAGCCCCATCATTTGTACAATTTTGAATCCCTGCCTCCCATGAACGCTTCTGACCAAATATGATCGATATCCATGGCATAATTCTACAGAAGTCGTTTATAGCAATATAGCCAAATTGCCCCCCTTTGGCCCCGCCCCTCAGCCCCCTGGGGGGTCAGCCCAACCATTTGTACAATTTTGAATCCCCACCACCTAGGGATGCTTCCAGTTAAATATGGTTGATATCCATCTCTTAGTTTCAGAGTTGAAGTTGCTTAAATCAATATAGCCCAATTGCCCCCTTTTGGCCCCGCCACTCAGGCCCCTGGGGGCCAGACCCAGGGTTTATACAAAATTGGTTCCCCTTTACCAAAGGATGCTTTAGACCAAATATGGAACAAATCCTTTCTTTCCTACAGAAGAAGAAGGATTTTAAAGAACTTGCTATGTGTTCCCTATTGGGCCCCGCCCCTCAGGCCCCTCGGGGCCAGACCCACAGTTTATACAAAACTGGTTCCCCTTCACCCAAGGATGCTTCAGACCAAATATGGAACAAATCCTTTCATTCCTACAGAAGCAGAAGGATTTTAAAGAATTTGCTATATTCCCCCTATTGGGCCCCGGGCAGGTGAGCTAAAAATGGCATTGCAGAGGGACAGGGATCCTTAATTAAATAAACAGAGAAATGTACAATATGCCAAAATCTGTAGAAGAATTTGACAAAGTTTTAAGTTTCATTTCAATTTTTATTTGACAAATTTTGTACAATAAACAGCAAGTTTTTTGTTACAACATACAGTTGAAATCTTTTTCAAATAAGTTCATTTCACTGAATTGTAATAAAAAATGAAATTTTCATGGGCGTTTTGTTCTTCATGACTTGCAGGATCAATTCCCTCTTGTTTGACCACCAATATTAACATAATACCTATACAATATACAATTTTTAAGTACGTTTAGACTAGTATTTGGTTTAAATGATTAAATACATAATTATTGAGTATTTACATTAAAAGAAATTGTTGGAATCGGCAGTTTCGATTTGTATTTGCTATATTTTTCTTTAGTGGATTCTTATATGAATTAAAGGGTTGACCCCATGTTCACATCCTTGAAAAAGACCCTCCAAGTGTTCATAGCTTGACTAATCTTGGTCGAGGGGAGGTAAAAAATAATCAAAAATAGTAAAAAGTCATGTATACATGTACTTTCATTATATATATATATACACTATAGACAAAATATTGCAATAAAAATCGCAATATTTGAACAAACATCATGATACATTGTAATATGAAATTTTGGCAATACCCAACCCTTTTGACCACATCTATAATATTACCGTATTTATCCAGCAATAAGCCCATGCCTGGTAAAAAACCCACTCTTATCTAATGCAAATCAGAGGAAACATTTTTTTTTATATTGTTCTGTAATACGCCCATCCACTTTTCTTTTGAGTTTATTACATGTTGGCCCCCTGGGCTTATTGCAGAATAAATATGGTAACTACATACATATAACATATATAACAGCCCCTGGAATGCTACAAAAAATATTGTAATGTCATGATTTCTTTTCATTCTAAAGTACAATGACTGTCGATATCTCAAACGATATTATAATGTCATGATTTCTTTTCATTCTAAAGTACATGTACAATGACTGTCAATATCTCAAACTAAACTCTATGGTACCTCTGGGTCATTTTGGACAGTTCTGACATTACCTTCTGTTTTCCACAACTAATTTTGCATTTCAAATGACTTGTACACAACACAGGAGTTTATTTAAACAAGAGGCCCAATGGGCCTGTGTTGCTCACCGGTTACTCATTACACATCTGTGACCTGGGAGTCTATGGCAATTTTATTTAATAATAACCTAAGTAATCATTATTCTATGCATCAACGGTTTCTGTTGGAAGTTTTTTTTTAACTGGTAATGTAAAAGAGGTCATTTTTTTTTCAATGCCTTCACTAGGATGTCGAACCCCAGAACCTCTACCGAATGAGCCAAAGAGAAATTCTCCCTAGCCGAGTCGGTAGGAAGCGGCTAGTATTTTACCAGGGTGACATACTCCCCCTCCAGAAAAGAACTACCATATTTTCCAGGGGTCAAAGCGATTTCTTTGCAAGTATCGCTGAGTATGCTTGTCATATCTCCCGGGTCCCTACGTGGGCACCAGTGTAACAGAGGTCATTACTTTTTCAATGTCTCCGCTAGGAGTTGAACCCCGGACCTCTGGCTTATTAGTCTTACACTCTACCGAATGAGCTAAAGAGAAATTCTCCCTAGCCGAGTCAGTAGGAATTGAAGCGGCTAGTATTTTACCAGAGTGACATTCACCTTAACTTGTATTAATAATCTGACCTTCAAAGATGGTCTTGGTCATTCCTTTTACTCCCATACTTCATAGTGCTTTACCCCATAGTATATAGCATGACTCTAGGTCTCTTAATTATTCAGAAATAGGTCTTTTGACGAAGTGTTAAGGTCATTGGATCAAACATGATAGCCCTTCTGCACAGCATGCTACGGCTAAATGCTATTGTCCTACATGTATGTCTCTAGGTTAATATGTGTTTTTTTTTAAAAGATCTTAACAAATTTGACCCCTGTGACACTTAATTTGAGTCCATTGTTAGTACATGTATCTCCTATATTACAATAGCATTTGGTATATTTAACATAACCTTACACCAACATCAAGTTTCATAAATTTCATGTGAAATGAAAACGAGTGTAAAATCCTTTTCATCACATAATCAAGATTTGTGGCATTTATTCGTTTTAAACGACAATTTTCATGCAACCATGAAATGTAAAAAGCCACCATTTTGACTCCAGTGTGTAAGTCTGTGACGTCATGTACTTGTCCTAGGCGTGACTTCACAATTGAAACAATTGAAACTTACAACCAATCACAGGGCTGATAGGTCATATTACATGGGTTAAAACCCTATTTGATGACTGTTTGAGTTTCTTCCTTACTTTGACCTACATTTTAATATACCTTGGTATGCGGAAATAATATTTAAGTCCGATGACCATTTATATCTGGCAATAAGCCTTTGCCTGGTAAGAAGCCCACCCATAAAAATTTCAGTTAAGTAAAAATGCCAACAAATGCTATTTTATTGTCCTGTTATATTATATGCCCACCCCCAAACATTGAGTCAGTGTTTATGAATTGGTCTCCTGGGCTTTTTGCAGGTTAACCCTTTCATCCCTATGTAACTTTGAGTAATAAACTCTACCATGGATTTATCTGGATGAGTCCATTATGGTCTACAGTGGTTAAAGGGTTAAATACGTTGGTTCTAAAGTTACTGATGAAGTTAACGGGTTTTTTTCCGATGTCACGATGAGTTTTTCTTCTGTAATGTGAGTCCCGCAAAGTCCGACAGTAATAAATTAACATGGTTCACATCCTCTCTTGTCGACACTTGCTGAAGTTTGTCGCACAGGCGATCCAGTTCCGTTACATCTTCGGACATCCCGGACAAGTTCAAATAGGTTTTCATCATATCACAGATCTGAAAATAAATTCATACATACATAAAAAGAAATGACATTGTCCTATTAATTATTTATTTATTATTTATTCGATTAATTTTTAACTTTTTTTTAACTTGTGAAATATTTACAATGAATATCCATGAAGATACTTTTCACTACATATAAAGAAAAGATATATATATATATTTAAAAAAAAATAAAAAAAATGATATGACAAGATATTTCTCCAAGGGATGTTGTTATGGAAGTGATAGAAGTAACTTTTCTTGAAGAAGTTTTTCTGTGTAGAATAATACTTTGCTGGCTATCTTAAGCATGGTACATTTGTATTTCAGTGACAGTGAGGTCATCAGTGTACGTAGCAATCTAAAGTCAGCATCAGACCTGTGCAGTCACAAAAAAAGGCAAAAACACCATTATACCACCCCCATGCCAGCACACACATACACTATACGCATCGACATTTGTCCTTAAGGATCCATGTCCCACTGCACTTTGGTTTTTACTACAGACAGTAACCTCCCCTCAAACGATTCGAGCAATAGTACAGTGGAACCTGCTTATTATGATATTCTATTTGCCAGAGAAAAATATCATAATAACCGATATATCATAATAACCGATCAAGCTGTTTTCGGTCGTTTTTATGTTGTCTGAACCGGCAGTGAGATGCCCTATATCAATCAGACATACATTGATGTGGAAACATGGGAAAATATAAATACAAAAATATCAATTAATAATTAGATAATTTGTTCATTGTTATTTATATCAGCGTCTATCTATGTGAGGTTCAGGGTTCGAATCCCGGTCTAGTCTTGTTGAATTGTTAAACTCCTGACACTGTTGTTGATTAAATTTTGTTTATTTCATCTTTATCATTTTACATAAAAGTCACGCAAGGTATGGTTTTCTTTTCAGAAATGGTTTATTTAAGCTACATATAAATATTAAATGTCCAACACTTATTTACAATTTTCTGGCAGTGGTAGATAAGGGAATCCTTATAATTAAATGAACTTAGCTCTTGTAAGGATGCTTAACCCTTTCACCCCTATGTAACTTTAGTCTCTACCATGCATTGATCTGGATGAGTCCATTATGGTCTACAGTGGTGAAAGGGTTAACACGTACAGTCAACCAAATAAAATCTTTACAAACCACCCCAGTTTTTCACTTCAACGTACCTTTAAAGTTTCGTCTTTGACCTGCTTCGAAGAATAAACCTTGGACTCGGACAGAAACTTTAAGCGTGATTTGCCAACTGTTAGAGGCGTTCGTCCATACTTGTCCACTGATTGTAAGTTGGTCCCAGCCTTAAGCAACAGTGTAACTATTGATACCTTGCCTGTACAAGCTGCAAGATGTAGGGGCGTATTCCCAACAGCATCTTTCTGATTGGGGTCAGCTCCCTTGTCCAATAAAGCTTTCACAATAGTCTCGTTACCCTGGGATGCTGCGAAGTGTAATGGGGTCCGGTTTTTCTCATCGAAACAACATGTGTCTATGCCACTTTCCAATAAATTTAACACTAAACTTGAATCATTTTCGTTAGCTGCCATTCTTAAACGTCTTTCATCTAACCTGTTGCTTTTGGAGTATGGTTTTCTGTGTATACGTTCAGAACAGTTGTTCTTAGATTTCCCCGTGTGAAACGATTGGTCATATTCAGGTTTGTAGTTGGAGGCAAATGGAACAAGGCAGAGATAGTCAACACCAGCACTCTCACTCTTTGGACTCCACGACGTCATGTCGAATTTTGGAAAATCTGTCTGCTCATGATCAAGATTATCTATCATCTGAAAAATAAAGCACAACAATGTATAAAGACTACCTCTGATAACTATCGATTTCTGCAAATAACTTTGCTTGGATTCTGATGTGATTTTAATACAGATTACTAAAAACATATATTCACATCGGTGTCTGTAGCTTGCATATATATGCCAAGCAAAAAAGCATGCTTGTTTCATGTTACAATGTACATGTACGTGCCTGAAAAAAATAGGGTAGGGAGGTAATCCTTTTATTTTTCATTTTTTATATAAGGTTTATATAGGAGAGTGTTTTTACACTCATTCACCCCTGAAGTTTCATAATGAACTATTCCAACCTTTGAATTGGAAGAGTTCAAATGTGTCTTCAGGGGTGAATGGGTTAACAAATGATTCCATAAAAATTGAAAAATAAGGTTTGGGTAGGTGCAAAACATTAGGGCAGGTAGCTTGCATTGGGTAACAGAAACAAACACCATACATTTTTTGGCCTTAAAACCAGTTTCAGAGGAAAATTGGTTACCAGAATTTTTGAAGTTCGCCCTGAAAGTGAAAACCTGATAAGTGTCTGTTTTAGAAAAATCTTACCAGAAGTTGAAAAAGTTAGATTGTGTTTTTAATTTACTATTGATCTGTTAAAACGTTGCAAAATACAATTTTCTAATGCAAAATACAAGATAACAAAAATCAGCAGCATCAGTAATTGGATGTCAAGGCTTGGAAATTTAGCAGAAACAGTAGAATGCTTCAGCAAATTTTCAAATGATTTATGATGTGTTAAAACACTCACCAACCTGTAAGAGAAGATAAAGAACTGTTTTCAGTGTTGGATACGAATCTTGCGAGCTGTCATATACACGTACTAGTATGTATGTTGTTATAAATGTTCTTACCAAAGCTTATGTATTGTCACATTATACCCGGTACTATACATGCCTATGGTGATGCCGATGTCACCCAGCTGGTGAAATACTTTTTTTATGTTACCTATATATATTGACTCAGCCAGGGAGAATTTCTCTTCAGCTGATTCTGTAGAGCGCAAGACTATTAAAACTAAAGGTTCCAGGTTCGACTCCTAGCTGATCAGGCACTTATATTAATAACCATGACCTCCGTTACATTTTTGCCCAAATATATAGGGACATGGGAAATAATGACAAAAATATTTAGCAATACTTCCCTAAGAATTGCTATATGACCCCTGGAAAAATTGGGATAGGCCTTTCGTGAAGGGGGGAGTGTGTTGCCAGCAGCTTCCTACTGACTTGAAAGCTGAATGTAAAAGCCTATCACTACGAAACAGGCTAAAAAAAGGTAAAAAACTTAACATAAAAAAACCTAGAATGGGATTTAGAGCAAAACCATGTGACAAAAGTTCTGCCTTAATTGTGATTCAATACTTCCATCTTTGAAATCCATGGGCTCAACTTTTGATATGCATTATAATCTTCTCTTCACGCTTAGAAAATGTGGATCACAGTTGGCAATATGATTCGTTTCAGACATCAAAACTGACTATTTAATAGACTGATCATGATATACCTGTCATTTGAAGGTAACAAAAGAGCTACACCAAATTCAAAGCTGTTCAATTTTTCTGTTATGCTGAAGCGCCATTATAATATATCAAAGCTAGGTATGCAGGTTTCAGCAACATTTTTCGGACTATAGTCAACTGCTATATATCTGCTTGCAAGATGGAGCATATACAATTAGGCCTTCAATTTAACTTGGTCGCTTTTACATAACCTGTTTGAAATGGTTCAAGTAGCATAGAAAAAAAATGTGATAAATGAACATATTTGGACCGGAACTTTTAGGCAGAGCGTACAATGCAGTTTCCAAAGATTTGTAACAATGAAATAACAATATATGTCCTTCTTTCATATGTGCACTTATACTTTTATATCAATTCCTAAAATACACATGAATCGACATTGTTTCACATAGAAATCATGTAAACTAGCCATTATAAGTCAGCATTTTAGCTTTAGGCCTGGCATGTCTCAATATGCATGTGCACGTGCCGAATATTCATGAGGTCAGCCGCAACTGAGATCTGAGCCTGTCGTTTTCTTTTCAGGTAGAAATTGTTGAACAGGATATCACGCTATTAAACGCACTCATGACATACCAGTATTCTGTATTCAAAAACAGTGTAGAGAATATGTATATCGAGAACTTAATCCTTGAATGGATTATAAAGATGAAATGCATCAAGATACTTAATTAAATCATCCTGTTGCACACATATATTTATATTCAGTATGGCAATTAATTACTGCTCTTGGGCTATATATTAATTACAGCATGGGATAAAAGCTAGCTGGTAAAAACAATTTTACAAAAAATTGAAAGTAGAGGAACTATTGTCTTTTAGTACTTCTGCCAGATAGTGACCTAGCTACTTCAACTGGTTGAAGATTTTGGCATATATCGGTTGTGGCATGAAAAGGAAAGGAACAAAATGAATATGTACTTGGAGCACTAGATTGCTGATTTGAAGGAGGATAGGGTGTCTGCTGATGAAATTTCATGTGGAAGTGTGTTCCCATCATTGATTATCCGAGGAAAGAAGGATCCTTTCCTCACAGACGTTCTACAGGACATATATTGGGGAAAGAATTTTGATGACAGTGCCTTGATTGTCTTGTAGTGGGGTTGATGGCAACTTTACTATGGCATATTTTGTAGAGCATGGTCAGCCGTGCATCTTTTCTACGATTGGTAAGACTGCACCAATTAAGGTGATCTAACATGTTGTTACCAACGCTTGAGGTTCGACTCGGTTGGTAACATAACGGGCAGCCCTGCGCTGAACCATCTCTATCTTGTCAGAGGTTTCTTTTCAGGTATGTGTGCCAAACTGGACTAGTGTATTCTAACTGAGGGCATGCTAAGGATTTATACGCCTTTTCTTTGATGTCAGAAGATGATATCTTTAGATTTCGCCTGAGGAAGCTCATGGTAGTATTGGCGTTTCTAGTGATATAACTGACAAGGGACACCCACTTCATGTCTGATCTGATGACACCAAGGTATTTGGCTTCTGACACACTGTATTGGTCTAGATCTATGTATTTGCGACACAGGTACTGGTCACTACACATAATCCTATTTGTTGTTATATGTGGTTATAATAAGATAGTATCGTCTAGTCATCAGTTTCCGCGCGTTATGTATTTACGCGCAGCCATTTTATCAAGCTATAACTCGTAATTACGTGACCTGCTGAACACACCACAAGGATATTTTAGATGTTTGGCCATCGTCTGTAAACTGACACAAAAATTACCGGAAGTTCGTCCGGAAAACATAAGAAATAATCACCGATTAAAAAAAACACACATAAATATGCAGTATTGCTTCATGCACTTTTTATCTTGCTCAAAATGAGCCCATATCTGAAAAAACAATGATATATATCATTCATGAACCGGTCTTTTTTGTAGTCTGACAAACGTAAGAAAATGTTGTATGCAAATATGGCCACATCTCCTCTCCGCCTTTTTCCCACTTCCGAAGAGCCAAGGAAACATCTTATATCGATAAACAGTGTTTTTAATGAAACGTAAACCTTGTAATGCAATGAACTTCCAATTTTCACTAATTTTAAACAGAACAAAATGAGAAATAACTTACCATCAACCAAAACCGATATAAAACTGCAGAAAAAAATAATAACAGTTTCTATATTATAACTAAATAAATATAATAAATAATTTTAAAAAAACACATGATTTCGTTCAATTTGACATCTTGAAAAATCAATTAAAAATGTGAAATTTAAAAAAACTTATTTTGATAATTAATTTGACGATCAAAGATATTTTTTGTATTCCAAACGCAGCTTTTGTTCTTGCAGGTCACTGTAGAGAAGTTCTTTTTAGTGTATTCGAGTTATCTTTCTTTGAACACTAAATCAAAATAGACAAACGGAAACATATGACGGCTACTTCCGACGGGAGAAATTTGTTAAAAATTGTTTGTTCTGATTTTTTTAAAATACAGTTTTATGTTGCTAGTTTTTTGTTTCTATTAGTAGATTGTATACATGTTTATGACAGTCATCCGTAATTTCAACAGTTTTCTGCCGATATGAGTACGAAATCGCGGATGCTTCTTAAGTGCGCGGAAACCGGTAACCCGAGGATAATATTACAATCCGCAGGAAAAAACCCACTAAATACTGTACGTGATCTCGACTTACAGAATATTCTCCTTCTGAGCTGCTCATATTATTTCCGAGTGAACTGGTACTGTCGCTATCATTAGCATCGTCCATGACATGTAAAAAACCGAAGTATTTTATGGGAACAAACTCTTAAATTTGATTCACGTAGTAATAACCTTGCCTATTACGTATGTGAATTGACAAATCCTGAAATAAAGGACAACATTGGGCCGCTTACAACGTTAGAAATAAATAAACAAAAAAAATCACAAATACATATCTAGATTAAAACTTGACATACTACCTTCATTTAAAATAAATTTATATAATAATTAAGAATAATATGTAATAAAATCAATCAATAATCAATGATTTTATATAGAAAGTAAAAAAAAATGATGACCTTAGCAAATGATGATTTAAGCGACGACAGGAAGTGTATCGTGGAGTTTTTCGTCTGCAGATTTTCGCGGTCCTGCCGTGGTGGAGAAAATGCTGTTCCTTGGTTTCATTCTTACATTATGGCCAATCCTTTTTGTTCTGTTGTATATAGTTCTAAATCACATTGCCAAACCAAGACACTCCGTCTGTATAATTGTTCTTGGTGATTTGGGCAGGAGTCCTCGAATGCTATACCATGCAAAATCTTTTGCAAAAGAGGGTTATGAAGTTGATCTCGTTGGCTACTCGGGTAAATATCGCCTTGGCTACAGATGCGTTTTTCCACATTGAATATATGAACCAAAACCATACACTTACTTTTTGATATATTATTCAACTTTCTACAGATAAATGATGAGCCAAAAATAGAGTTCTTATCAGGTCTTTTTATTAACTTTTAAAAACCTTGTTTTTTTATTCACAATGTAAAATAGACATGCTTGAATATTTAAGACGCATTATTTGGTTTGAAGAGATACTAACTTCACATTTTAATTGAATTGCAATATTAAGAGGAATCTATATACCAACATTGTGTACATATAAGTCACTTTGAAAGTGAAAGTAGAACAGCTCATATAAGTTTGGGTGACGAGCAGATTATGATAAGTGGGAAATTGACTTTACACATCTGTGGTAGGTTTTGATTGAACATATAATTACGATAGCCTTTTAGCTACATGCTAGAGGGAATTTCCTTTTCGCTCAGTGGTAGAGTGTCCAACTAGGAACCTAGGTATCGCATGTTCGATCACCGGTGGAAGCACATTACCCTCTTTCCTGTTAAACATCATTTGGAAAGCCATGATCAGACACAAAAGTTGTCATTTTGAAAACAATCTATTCTTTAAATTACAATAATAATGTAGTAGGTCTGGACTATCAAGTCAAGTCGAGTAAAATTTATTTGCAAGTCAGTACATAGTTAAACATGATGACACCTGTTAACGCTTTCACCCCTAGGTAACTTTAGTAGACTCTACCATACATTTATCTGGATGAGTCCATTATAGTCTACAGTGGTGAAAGGGTTAAAGGCTTTTACGAACTACCATAAAATAAGAAAAAACGCTGTAACATTTAAGAGAAACATAACAAGCATGCAGAAAATAAGACAATTTAATAGTTTAGCACATATATCAAATACATGTATAAAATGTCTAATTTTTATAAGCGAGAATAAGAAGTAAAAGCCTGTGTGTGTTTCCAGAATATATGCTATACGTTATGGTACGTTTATAATTATATAAGATAACATGATTTTAAAAAAACACGTCCCAGTATTTATCTGTATATATGAATTACAAAATATTAGAGATATCTATAGCTAATCGCCAGTGACCTGAACAGTTTGCATTATCAGTTGGTGGAGCATCTGTTGAAGGTTCTAGGTTTTTATGGGTTCCCTCTTCTACGTACATATATATATACTAGCACATTATCTGCAAAATCTCACACAAATTTGGTTTTCTCAATAAATGTGTCAGAAGCAAGAAATTTACAAAGAATATATGCTGGTATAAATATCTACAAAGTATTAATGTTTTGTTGGTTACTGACAATTACTTTTCTGAAATTGACAAGAACAGTGTTGGGTGGGACATGAGGTGCATGGATCACTTCAACAATAAGAGCACCTGGTCACTCATTTGTTGGTATTTTTTCCGTTGAAGAGATAGGGTGCTGTCTTTTTTACATGGGCACTGGGCAAGCTTTCATTTTCAAGGAACTTCTCAATTGATGCTGATTTGTTAACTTTGTTTTAGTAGCAAGAGTGAGCTAAATACAAAGCAGCGTGATGAAAATTGGGGTTATTTTGTAATCAAAGTTCGATTATTTTTTATTACAATTTGTTTCTTTTTATAGGCTCCAAGCTGCATGAGGACATACAGATAAACAGAAGGATAAGCCGGCATTATCTTTGGGAACCACCAATATTCGTAAAATGTAATCATATAAATATGTGTTTTTTTATGTGTATACAAATAATGAGGATAATATTTTTTTTTATGTTTGATGTGTTATTCATTCCTGAAATTTGATTTGTGTATGTCTTTTAATTATTGTTATAGATAGAACGACTATATTGTCACCTTTCTGTATTCAGAAGGAGCATTCATTATGGTGTACATATTAGTCTATATAGTTTAAAAATTTACAGGTAACCCTCAGTGTATAAGTTTACCAGGTATTTCTGTTTCTAGATGTATGAATCAATTTGATGATCAAAATAATGACGTCACCAATATCCATAAGATTATTGTTTAGAACGATGTAGCAACTACATGAAAGAATTAAGCTGATGATATCATTTACTCTTTCACCCCTGAAATTTCATAATGAACTATTCCAACCTTTGATTTGGAAGAGTTCAAATGTGTATTCAAGGGTGAATGAGTTAAGCAAGCATAATGCTACACTCTATATTGAAATAAAGTTTCATCTTTCGAAATGGAAGCATAAGGGTGTAACATGATATCTAAATATATTGCGATAATTAAAAGATGAAGAAATTGACATTTAGGTGTTCATCATAGCCCTTTAATATTTTTTTCATTTTACAGATGTTCCGCGACTTTTAGCGTATGTGTTAAAAGTTTTCTGGCAGAGTACATCACTAGGTTTACAATTGTTGTTTCTTCCGAAGGCCAATTATTTACTTATACAGGTAAGACTTATCTCTTATTATTTAATCTAAATATTTTGGAAATCATTTATCCATCCCCACCAACACAAAAACAAAATACAAAAAAAGCCCCCACCAAAACAAACAAAAAAAGTATGGAATGAATGTTCCAAGTTATTGTGTCGACCCGTCAATAAGCCCATGCCCGGTAACAAGCCCATGCCTGGTAATAAGCCCACTCATATCTATTGCAGTTCAATAAACACAAGCAAATGCTATTTCTTTATCCTATAATGAATAATAAGCAAATCACCCACAGTCATGTCAGGTTATGTGTTTGCCCCCTGGGCTTATTGTAGGATAAATACTGATATATTTGGTGATATGATAGAACTTATCACAATTTTAGAAATCCATCTCCTTGATGTTTGAGTGTTGTGGTGAAAGTAATGAAAAAATAAATAAAGTTTTGATTTGAATACCACTCTGTGAGTCAATCCAGACAATTGTGATGTCTTTCATCTATGACTTTTGTATTTCAACAATGATTGTCTAAAATTAATTACGAAGACCACTCAAAGTGTTTTCAAAAAAGTGTCGTACAAGTAACGGGGAAATGTTGCGGCTCTTCTTGAACATAACGTTGAAAAAGGGAATATCTTACACTTCTCTCTAATAACTTTGTATCTTCAACTCATTCACCCCTGAAATTTCATAATGAATCATTCCAACCTTTGAGTTGGAAGAGTTCAAATGTGCCTTCAGGGGTGAATGAGATAAATTAACCCATTGATTTATCATAGTAGTTTCCTTTTTTATGAAAAAGTGAACAATACTTGTCTTTTGACTATGTAACCAGCGTTTGACTAATTTAAACTGCAATTTAACGAATGTTTCCTAAATAACAGGACTCATCAGAATTAATTATTGTAACTAACTTAATGTTTTCATTTCCAGAATCCTCCGTCCATACCTACCTTGTTTGTTGCACTGATCGTGTGTTTACTGAGGGGCAGTTTCCTTCTTATTGATTGGCATAACTATGGTTTTACGATACTGGCTCTTACACTTGGTGGTGATCATCCCCTGGTCAAATTTTCTAAATGGTCAGTACATGTACAGTCAAACCTCGTTATCTGGAAGTCGACGGGGTCGTGGAAAAACTTTGAGTTATCCGAGTATTCGAGTTATGCGGGTTCATAGATTTGTTATGAAATTTGCTGTTGGGACATAGCACTAGCAGTTGTTGGTTTTATTAATAGTTAATGCTTTTAATCAATCAATAAATGATATATGTAATCAATATAACAAATACAGCTATGTAATTTTACAATAAACACGCTTACAAAAATAGAGCAAGTTATTTCAGAAAAACGTACTTTCGTATAAAGTGTGTCTACTTTGTAACTTAAAGATATATGCAACGTACCTTAATGTTTCATATTGTACCTCCTTTCCAAAGAGTTTCAAAATAGAGCACTTTTATAGTGATTTAGACACATTTTTTAATAGACTTAGTTATGTCATTGATTAATTAATTGAAATATACTCACGTATGCATGTATTGGTGATTTTTAGGGCATTTTGGAATTTTAATAAATGGGAGATAACTCTTACACAAATCACCTGAAACTGATTTAATTAGGTGTATATCCTTAATTGCAATTTTCCAATTATATAAGGAACTCTACAGTTGATTTAAGCCAATAATGGTCTTTGGCCGAGATCCTTGAGCAAATTACAAATTCAAGCACCAAAATAGCAAAATTCCTCCCCACCATTCAATCCGTTTCTTAGAAGAAATATAAAATGTAAAAGATCTGTGGTGCATTTTGAGATATTTTCAAAAGTAACTTTTGTTTGCAATTGTCTTGGAATTGTGAAATGCCTTGGGCTGGCTGACAGGACTTGGACAGTCTCGACTCAGAGTTGTGATTGTGCATGATCTGATCACTGATTTTTTTATTTTTTTTTAAAATTATTGATGTTATGCAAACTTTCATATTTGTTTTTATAGCTAATGATCTTTTTATATTTCTGTCCTATTTTATGTTTCAGGTATGAGAAATTTTTTGGCAGATTTTCCAAGGCAAACCTCTGTGTTACAAAAGCAATGCGTGATGATTTAAAAACTTGGGGAATAAGGTAAGAATTTACTATAAATTAGGCAGAGAAATGTAAACAGTTGATAGTGTCCCACCTCTGGTCATAACTCTGAATATAGCGGGGCACAAGAGATGACAAGACCCCTTTGCAGCATGCAAGAATTACGGAGGCACAATAGTCTTGTGGTAGGATACAAGGCTTGTGACAGAAGAGTGGCAGGTTCGAGTCACATCACAGCACTGTGTTGTATCTTTGAACAAAGATACTTTACTTTGCTTGTTCCAGTCTACACAGCTGTAAATGAGTTCATGGTTGGGAAGTGCTAGAATTTTTGAATGCTAGCTGTGTGCGCCAAAATGGCAGCACCGGCTGTATGCTCCCAAGGGAGTTGAGAAAAATATTGGCCAGTTGCAAAGGCCTTACAACCACAGATAATAATTTGTGAACCACTTTGCGACGACCTATGAACTAAGTTGTGATAAAGCGGTATATAAGAACCTCAAATTGTTATTATTATTATTAACAATTCCTCCATCTCAAGATTTGTTTTTGCATTGTCCCATTGACATTTGAAGCTGTTTAGGGCCAACCTATCCCAAGTAGTACACGCATACCAAATGGTGGGCAACATACCATATGACCCATATAGTGTGTTATGAAGGCCGCTTTCGTTTATCGTGATCCAAACTGTTGTACCAGAGTTGTTCATTTATGAAAGAGGGCTGGACCAGGTAATCTGATGCTGCTTTCAGGTGATCCTTGCAAGGCCTACATACATTTTTGCAAGTCCTCAGGATTTATATCCGAAAATGTTCAAATGCATAAACGAACAGGCCCCTACAATTACCAAATTATTGAGATATGCCCAGGACAATGTGTTCCACTGTGAGCAAAGGGCTGTTACTCTGTATATTTACAATTCTGTGAATTTTCTGCAAAATACGTCATTAATTTATATTCCATTGCAGTGCCGAGACTCTATATGATAGACCAGCGGATCTGTTCCAAGAAGCAACAGTGGAAGAGAGACATGATCTGTTCAGTAAACTTTCCCTGGCATATCCTATATTTGGCAGCAGGTACGTCTAGTAATTATACATGTTAATCAACAGGTACTGTTGTGTCTAAAACTCTTTTTTGTTTTGATTTTAATACTTATGCCATAGACTAGTACAAAAATATATTAAAAAGATTCCTCCAAAAAAATTTGATCCATGCTTTTAAATGGAAAATATAATATAATTTTTTCCTTTGCAAATAAATGGTATTTCTTAGGCAGATAGGAAATGGTCCTGTCCTGAGAAATCTTATGCAAATAGCCTGTTTATTCATTAACTCGTTCACCCCTGAAATTTCATAATGAATTTTTCCAACCTGGGAATTGGAAGAGTTCAAATGTGTCTTTAGGGGTGAATGAGTGAGTCCGTCAGTCGATAAAGAGGAACCTACTACTAAATGATATTCAATGAAATACCACAGTCTTTCTTGTCTGCAGGGTAAACCATTTCCAAAATGGAAGATTACCATTAAGCTGTTTGAGACTGTTGTATCAAGATATTTGACCAGGGTTCCCAAAGGATTTTATATTTTGGGTAGATTTTATAGATTTTCAAGATTCTGTATCTACAGGTACTTCATTGTCAAGGACAGTCCTTGAAAATTGGGGTACAACAAATGGTGCAGGGGTAAAAAAATCTCATTTTGGGAAAACACTGAAAACATATTCGCTCCAGGATCGAAATCAAAACAATAAATCAGGTCATTTTGACGCGATATTCTTTGATGAACTGGAAATTTAGCGACTCAATGCTTCATAAAAAAGAGGTATTTATCTTTTGTAGAAATGAGTTGGAACAGGATTCCACTGTGTTTACATACCGGTCAGCCTCCGGAAAGATACAGTACCGAAATGACCGTCCCGCTCTTTTAGTCAGCAGTACCAGCTGGACTGGTCAGTTTTTCCAACAAAGTGAAATGACATCTCATCTTTTGTCTGCTTAAAGCTGCAGATTAGAGACATCACCTGCCCAAGCGGCTGGTATACATTTTGACAGGCCGTGCCTGTTTGTTACGTAACTAGGGTAGTTGCAATTGTAAACTTGTGTCACATCACTTTCTTATCAAATTACAACAACAACAGTGAAATATTTTAATGAAGGTACCAATGATATTTGTGTACTAGATTTAACCCTTGAAACCCTATAAAACTTGAGTAGACTCTGCCATACATTGATCTGGATGGGTCCATTATGGTTTACAGTGGTGAAAGGGTTAAAGGTATAATTTGGTAAGTATTGGAAACTATTTACCTTGCAGTACTTTTATGAGAAAATAATAGATTAAGTATGTTTTTGAGCGTAAAAATTCAGCAGGGCTACACTGCGCTATCCAGGCCCCTTTCGTTTATCCAGTTCAACCAGTTAAAACGGTTGAACCTGAAAGAAAACGACAGGCGCAGATCTAAACCGAGACTGACCTTAAGAATATTCGGCACGTGTAGATTGAGGGGTCCAGATGTGCTTGGCCCAAACTAAAATGCTCACTTTTGCAAGTTTGCGTTATTTCTTTATAAAACAAAGTCAATCCACATGTAAGTTTTAAGATAACTTTGTCGACGCGTGAAAGGACATATTATTCTTCATAAAATGTTATTTATTCTCCGAAACTGTGCATTGTTTAGCTCTGCCTATGGTTCGGTTCAAGTGCGTTCGTTTATCATGGAATATATTTGTGTGCCACCTGAACTATTTCAACCAGAATACGCGAATGTAACCCGGAAGTGTCCTAGCACAGACGGAAGTTAAGGGGAGGTTACTATATATAGGAAAAACAGTGCAGTGGGACAGGGATTCTTAAATGTGTTTTACTGTCTGATTCATCAGGCATTTATTTATATAAGAACTTTTTGCTTTTACACAAGACTCTGCCTATGTTCACTTACATAACAAAACAAAAACTCACATGCTTCAGTGAAAATATTTCCTGGACACTTCCATGCACACTACACTATATTGTGAAAAATGATTTATTTTAAAAACCGCATCCAAGTTTTGGGATTTGTACGCCTCATTTTCATTTTATGCACAATTTTCTTTGGCACACCTTGCATTCTGAACAAGCAATTTATGAAGTTATTTTTATATCTTTTACAGAAGATGAAGACTTTGGAATTTTATTGAAAACTTTGCAAAGTAAGTATGAAGCAGTCACATCACCAGAATTTAAATTTGTTCAATCAGGAAGAACATTAAAATACTTTTGTAACATCCTCCATTTTGGAGGCACGGTAGCTATTATCACGGTAGGACGCCAGGCTCGTGACCGAAGGGTTGCGGGTTCGAGTCACGTCACGGCACTGTGTTGTATCTTTGAACAAGACACTTTACTCAGTTTGTTCCAGTCTACTCAGCTGTAAATGAGTACGTGGTTGGGCAGTGCTAGAATTGTAGAATGCTAGCTGTGAGCGCCGAAATGGCAGCTGCAGCTAGCTGTATGCTCCCCAGGGAGTTGAGAAATACATTGGCTAGTTGCAAAGGCCCTATAACCACGGATAATGATTTGTGAACCGCTTTGAGACAACCTACGAACTAGCGTTATATAAGAACCCCTAATTATCATTATTATAAACTAGGTGTGTATAAAAAGGTACAAAAATGACAATAAATTGCATTAAAAACCTGCATTTCTTGCAAAACCAGCACACTGATGCTACATATTTATAAACTGTGTCAATATCTGTTTTTAATCTTCTTTTTTTTTTTTTTTTTACAGAATATGAAGTTGTAGCTTCAAAAAATTTGCAGAAAGGCATACCAGATATTTTATGTGTCATCACAGGTTTGTAGCTTCTAATGATAATGATGCATGAAAATCCACTTGTAAAATAATAATTCTGTTTAATATTGAAATTTTGTGTTGTTTTTCCTTTTTAAAACTTGTATTATTCTTATTCAATAATAAATTCTTTTTTATTTAGACAGGGTAACATATTTAAGAATGTTTTTTTTCCATCAATGTTAACCTGAAGATGGTATTAACCAGTTCCATTTCACTTGTGAAAGATATATGTCTGTTCTTTGCAATCTGCTTGGGTCTTTTCCACAAATGGTAACCTTATTAAGAAAGGGCTAGGATAGGTTTTTTGTTATCATCAATATTCATCAATAAGTTTTGTAGAAATGAAAATAAAAACAACCTTCCGACTCCCTGATGATTAAATTAAAATGAAAGTATTTTTTGCCGCTATTGACATCTAGTCCTATATGATAAAAATTACTGAATTTTGAATGGTGATCACAGCTTACTAAAGGAATTTTTGTAGGAGGGAGCGCATAGTGAGCCCTAGCTTACTTTTTTTTATTGCAATAAAACAAAAGTATATGATGGGGGGGGGGGGGGGGCCCTGGGGGGGGGAANTCTTTCTACTTTTCCCCTCAGTTCATCAACAAATCTCGTTATTACGTCGAAATTTCTCTGCATAAATGGTGGCAGTCTAACGAGGTTTATGTTTGTTTATTACGCAAACATTCACTGCTTTAAATAAGCTGTTGTGCTCTGCTTAATGCTGGGTCGGATTTAAAACCAATGAGGTATCGCAAAAACATAACAGAACTTCCCATTACATATGACGGACAGAGAACAGTAATGAACAGTATGTGATAAATATAAAATATCTTAACTAAATCTAATATATGAATTATAGGAAAATTACGTACCAGCAGCGACTTTTTCATTTGTAGTATTTTCCACACACACATTCCGCTTCAATCCAACCGATGTTCCTCAGAAACGTATAGATATTGATATATATGTTAATTTACGTTGTAATCCTTCTCAGACCATCCTAATACATTCAGGTGTAAAACGACAATAGCATTTGGCAAGTAGTCGGACGGCCGGGCAAAACCTCACAAAATTAAATATCGTTACACACAGAACATCGCTATATTGAAGGGATTTAAATCCGGGTCCTCAAGACACTGTCAATGTCGCCTGCGGCAATTTAAAAACACAAAGGAATATCTTCCATCAAAATTACATCACTTTGTTCCACCACGGAAAACACTTTGGTGGGTTGGGTAGATTTCGCGGTATTGGCCCCTGTCACTTGACCGCTCTAAGTCAAACTCACAATCTGATCGGTTATATGGAAATCCGACCAATCAGAATTCGCTATTCAAGATTGTTGTGTAAACGAGCTCCATAAAAATGTAGAAACGTATAGAAATATTACCTGATTTCAATTTGAATCAGGGATATCAAAATTACACGTACTTGACATGAATCTTTAAAAACACGCTCTACGTGAGAGGTTCACAACATAAGGTAGATAGTTTCACCATTTCTCTACATTGAACAGATTTTTTTCTCGTTTACGGAAAGTGACGTATTTGATTGCCTTGCCTGCTAAATCTCGTTTGATGATGAAAAACTAGGTGTGTGTGTGGGGGGGGGTTCCATGTGGGGGGAAAATTGAGGAAAATGGTGAAAATACATGATTTTTAAAGAAAATTATCAGGGGGGGTCCTGAAGCCCCAAAAAAACCTCTGGATCCGTCACTGAGATATATCATAGTTTCTTAAATATCAACCCAACTGTAGGAGTAGATTTGAGTCAATTCTGGTAAAACTTGATATCCTAACAGTACTAGACCTGATAAGTGCTCCACCCATATAAACACTATCTATCTTTTTTTTCTGTGTGTCTGAGAGTCCCGTCTTCTCACCATAATTTACCAACTCGCATAAAAAAAATCAATTATAGCCACTTTTAGAGACTTTTGGAATGTCCAGCAATCAGTCTTATTTTCTGAAATAGCTGAAAACCCGGGGCAATTATTATATCAAATTTAGTCAATAGGAAAATGTTTTATGTGATCCGGTAGCACATTAAACCAGATACAAAACACATGATAAATAGTTCTTTTGAACTCTGATATAATTTATCTTTAGGTAAGGGACCACTGAAAGAGTTTTACAGCCAGGAGATTGACAGCATCGAGTGGAAACACATACATTTTTGTTTACCTTGGCTTGAGGCGGAGGACTATCCTGTTCTACTAGGTAAGTAAAGACAGTTTATATAAGCTTCTGTCTATTTCATATTTTGATGAAGTGCCCAGACTAGTATGGGTCAGCATTAAAATGGATCTACAGTTTTTACCAAAAATCTTGCCTAAAAAAATCCTGCATTATATTAGCATATCTGCCAATTCCTCCAATTTTTTGCAGATTTTAAAATTAAACTCCTCATTCGATATAATCTTTAAATTTTTTGCAGATTTTGTTACCCAATATTCATCATTCAATTTTGTTATTTGAATAGTCATTTCCCCACTCTGTATACTAGGTATATTTAGTTTCTACAAACTGGATTATATTTCAAAGGTAAAAAAAAAAAGGTGACAAGCATGTGATTTATGCATTAGGTAACATGGATTTCATTATTTCACATGGAAGGTCTTCTCTCATTATACTCCCCGGCCAGGTGGGACCTATATATGGTCCTCAGTAAAGCCTTCGGCCCAGTCTTCAGCATAAATATGAAGTGAGGTTGGCAGTTATGTATTAGATCCTACAGTTACGAAAGTGTCCAGACTGAAAAAATTCTGCTTCACATTGTATCCTGCTGTTTTGGAAAGTGTCCAAGCTAACTAGGTTCTGCACTATAATGGATTCTACCATGTTCAAAATGTCGTGTCTAAAACAGTTTTACTTGACAAAGATTTTGACTGTTTTTTCTTTTAACGTACAGGATCAGCTGACCTTGGTGTGTGCCTTCATATGTCTTCCAGTGGCCTTGACCTTCCTATGAAAGTTGTTGACATGTTTGGTTGTGGTCTTCCAGTCTGTGCTGTCCATTATCCGTGGTAAGAGTTCATTTTCCTTTGAAATGGCTAATAGATCAGATTTACTTGTAAGTGAGACTTTCCTAAGCTAATGTGAATATGCTGCGCATCGTTAATGTATCAAATGTGTCTTCAGTGAATAGAAGACTCTTTCATGTCCAGGGGTGTAGGATAGGGAAATTCTACCCGAGGGGTTTTCAAATATGAAAGCCGAGGATTTTGCCAAATTTGAAAATCCTGAGGGTGGAATTATCCTTTCCTACACCCATGGGCATGAAAGAGTATTTTTCTCTCATTCCAACTACCATAATAAGCTCAGAAACCATGAAAATGAGTTTTGACTGGCTACCATTTTGAAAATATCAACTTTTCCCCTGAGCTTTTTTGACACAAACAAACTTGTCAGCTAGATTTAGCATACCCGATATTTAAAATAATCACATCTTTCTAACATGTTCGGTAAATATATCATAAAAGGTTTTAATTTCATCACATTGTCTTTTCCGCATTACGGCATCAGTGTTTTCTAAATCCGTGACGCCACGTCATTGTTGAGCCATTGTGACGTCACGTCACGTGAAAACGGGTGTAAGATAGAAATTTTCTTCAAACCTTTCTTACCCTGTACAGCTCTATCTTACACACATGGAAATAAGAGAAAATGTTTTGCTCTTTTGTACTTTTTGATAGTAAATCAGTAAATGTGATGCTGTTTTGATACTAGGAAATGTAGTCTGGACTTTGTAGTTGTAATTGTTTTCGTTCATATGTAACATGTGGTGTAGTACCGTGGTTACGATTTTTTTCCTTGCAGTTTGTCGGAGCTGGTAAAACATGGTCACAGTGGCCTAATTTTCAAAAGCAGTCAGGAACTGTGTAACCAATTACAGGTAAGTTATATAGGGAATCTACTTGAGTGTAGCAAGAGATGTTTGTAACAAACACAATGGAACCAAAGACACGTTTACACTGCATTAAACCTGTTTATATCGAAGGCAGGGGACCAAAGGAATTAGTCATAATATATATATATTGTATGTGTTGCAAAGCACCTTAGAGTAATTTTACAAATTATATAGGGTGCCTTTCACCAAGGCGGCCGTGGTTCGATTCCCCAATCAGACATGAAAAGGTATGGGGTCTCCTGCCCGTGTACCACATGGGTTTTCTCTAGTTACTCCAGTTTCCTCCCCTACCCCCTCTCCCCAGGTAGCTGAATTGGTTGATCTTGGTGATGAAGTAGCTGAATTGGTTGATCTTGGTGATCAGGTAGCTCAATTGGTCGATCTTTGGTGATCAGGTAGCACAATCGGTTGATCTTGGCGAACAGGTAGCTCAATTGGTTGATCTTGGTGATCAGGTAGCTCAATTGGAAGAGCATCAGTCTGGAATTCGGAGGGTCTAAGGTTCAAATCCCTGGATAGCATATTGCAAAATTGGTTCCTGTAACCAACCCTTGTTTCAAGCACTGGGTGAATGCTCGACAGGTGGATACCTAGACCTGGGTTATAATTAGTGATGTTTTAGGGGGCGAAGACATAAAAAAGGTAGTGAACTGGACTTGGTAGAACATCTGTGATGAGATAGCTCAACTGGTAGATTGTGCATCTAGAGTTCGGTCGGTCTAGGGTTTGGATCCCGTTCTGGCCGTACATCTCTCTTTCTCCTATTACAATTATAAATACCACTTGACTGAAATATATTTTCAGTGCAGTAAAACATTTTGATATTGACCCCCAGATGACCAAAACAACATTTTCACTACAGCAAGACATGTTTATAACAAGCTGCAGGGGACAAAAGACACCTTTTCACTACAGTAAATCATTATTTCTATCAAATCCAGGGGGGACCTTGGAAACATGACTTGTTCTTTACTGTAGAAATGTTGATAATGAATCCCAGAAACAATAGAAACTTGTTCTCTAGTAAGACATGTTTATAATGAACTCAAGAGGTATGAAGAACTAGTTAGCTACATTTAAAATGTTTATAACAAACCACAGGGACAGAAGAAACTTAATTTAATGACCGGGGACCGAAAAAACTTGTTCTCTACAACAATAAAATGTTTATATTAAAGGCAGGGGAACGAAAAAATTACTTATTTTTTTACTATAAGACACTGGACCGAATTCACTTTTTCATTACTGTAAAACATGTTTATATGGAACGACAGGAGACATAATAGACTTGTTCTTTACTTTAACACGTTTATATTGAACAACATGGGACCGAAAAAAAAATGTTCTTTACTGTAAAACATGTTTATATGGAACGACAGGAGACAGAAAAAAATTGTTCTTTACTTTGAAACATGTTTATATTTTACGACAGGAGACAGAATAAACATGTTCTTTACTTTAACACATGTTTATATTGAACAACATGGGACCGAAAAACCTGTCAAATCCAGGCATAGTTCATTTTAGGGATTAGTGTGCAAGAAAAAATCTATATCGAGTGACAAATGCATGATGATGCAGTAAGCATTTTTTTTATAATGGGTGTTTCCTGATGCAAATTATTTAAGACTAGAGTCTGTGAACTAAACTTTATCACATCTATGAAATGATATTTGAATTATATTCAATGCAAAAAATGGGATTTTGACAACATGCATTGTCAAAGTCGCGAGAATGATTGAACAAAATTGTAAAATTATGTTACTTTCTGCTGTCCATAGACCTTGAGAATCGAAATGCCATTGCTAAATACTTGGAATCTTGCAGCGTTGAAAAAGACTGAAATTGTATGAGTAGAATTTAATTATATCACGATACTGTTATCATTCAAATTCTATTCAAGTCCACCTGAATAATCAATTTTGGAGCCGCCTGAAAACTCAACAATTTTATGGTAAAAAAGTAGTTTAAATCATTTTTCAAAATTCTGTTTAATCATTTTCCCATTGCAGGAACTCCTTGAATCTTTCCCCGATGACCAAAAAACATTGAAGAAAATGCGATGCAACTTGAAATCCTTCCAAGCTATTCGATGGCACGACAACTGGAAAAGAACTGTTCTTCCTTTGTTAAAGCAACACAGGAAAGACAAGAAGAAAAGATAACTCAACCATATTATGCAAGCACAGTTTTTATATAGATCTGTATTTTGAAATAAAAATTGGCTCTTCACTGTTGATCAGGTGATATTTGTTTGAACAGTTTTTAATTTATAAAAAAAAAAACCGTTTGATATTTATAGACATCGTATATGTATATTCATTTTAGATCTCCAATAAAAGCTTTACTGCAAATATCTTTAAAAATATTTTGCCGATAATAATTTGACTGCGTTAGTAGCGCGACCATCTTTCCTTGAACAGCTGAAGATTCTATAGGTGTTCATCATTTATCCAGACAATTTTCATAGAACGCAGCCAGAAAAATCTGTATCAACCTGTCGATCAATGAAATGGAATTCATCACAACACGATAAGGTATGATGGATTTGGATATGAAACATATCCTATTTACTACTTATATACAGTGTAATATACAATATTTTAATTAACAAGAAAATTAAATAAAAGTCCATCATAAAGAGGATTGGTGTTCCAGTCCTGTGCCGCTGATGTTGAAGTCTCTGAAAACAAAAGAAAGTACTCTCATGAATGTTCAATTAGAAGAGTACATATATATATATATACATTTAGAAAAAATAAGATTAACGACCGACTAAAAAACTAGCTGCTTTCACCCTTCATAGGGCTCGTCAGGTTTATTCAAAAGAACAATATATATCAGAGTTCCCCTGATGAACCTTTAAAGAGGTGAAAGCGTTAGGGAGATACTAAGAAACTCTTTGTATTTGTTATATATCATCAATAGATGATTTATTTGTCACTATGACCTTGTTGAGTATATCGGGCTGGTGACCACTGCATCATCAAAACTTTTTTTAACTCATTCACCCCTGAAGACACATTTGAACCCTTCAAATTCAAAGGTTGGAAGAGTTCATTTTGAATTTCAGTGGTGAATGAGGTAAGAAAGGTGGCGTAGTGTTAGGAGATGTGTATATTTTAATTTTCGACTAGACGATTTGGTGACGTTGGTAGCGAGTTTGAGCCCGGACAGAGCACAAGTCATAAAAGTAACTTCTTTCGTCACTTGTGTTATGTATACAACTAATATACATGATATATCTTGTAGATAAGTGTATATTGGTACAAAGATTTGAGATATGAACTTCCTCTAGTAATTTTACCGTGTTTTATATTTATCAAGAAACATCACACATTACACGCAATGTAAAAACAAAGTATTATACTATAATTATGTGTATTTATAGTGCCCCGAGACATTTAGCCTCAATAACTCTTTCTTTGTTACTGAATATTTATTAATATGTGTGATGATTAACACCGAATTCGGCTTTTCATCCGATATATTATATAGTGTTTTCTGTTCTGAATGCCAACATGTTTAATAATGATCTATTAAATCAACACGACATACCACAATGTATTAACATGATTCGGGCAAACGATGTTTTTCGGCAATGCTAAGCATATTTTTCAACCAGGAAACCGGGTGAAAATGATACTGAAAAATATGTCGCGAATTCGACAATAGAAACATCACATGGTTTCATCTTCCAAGTGTTCTTTTTTTCAGATTCTCTTTGCGCAGATACCTTATGTAGCACTTTGGACAAATACTAACATCTTCATTTTAGCAATCTATGCCACTTTTTGTCATATCTTAAAGCCATTTATATTGTGGGTTTGTTTTCACATTTCTTTACATTCACCTTTTTCATTTACAAAATTTCTCAAAGATACGATGGTAACCATTACCAATGCATTAACAAATGATTATGAAATATCCCCGAAAAGCAATGTAAAAACAAAACTCTGATGATAAAATATATAAAAACAAAAACATAATGTATAAGAACAAATTCTAAAATATTACACACACAAAAAAAAAAAAGAAAGAAAAAAACATAACCCTGGTGTATCATCACGTGTTATCTTTCAAGCATAATTGTTTTTGTTACACAATGCTATTCAATGAAAAATGACGTCAGAGTAAAACATTGCTATCCACCAATGAAAAATGACTTACAACGCCGTCGTAGTAGGATTTTTTTATACATACTGCAGTTGTATTCGTCTGTGCCGCCCAAACAGTCGTAGTCGCCGTCACACACCCAGGTCTGAGCTATACACTTGTCTTGGGTTCGGCAATAAGACTGACCTTTCTGGCACCGGGCAGAACCTAGGATACACAAAACAGGCGAAAGCAAGTATTTTATCTTTCAGTTGTCGACTATTTCAAAAGTTGCTTAACCATAATTGAATCATCTCTTTTTGTGATTTAAAAAAACGAAATTCTTTGTTTTCATGGATATTCGATGAAACTCGGGCATCAGTGCAATTCTTGAAATCTGATTTGTTCCGAGTTAAGATTATTGTTTAAGAAAGCCTGATTTTGCGGACATCCTTGTGAGGATGTTCGCTATTAATAGAATATGACTGTTTAAATGCAGAACGAATGACACTACTTAAACGTACGCTTTTGAATAAACAAATATTTGGTTTTAAAAAACCCAATAAAATTATACGTATGCCTAGTCAAATGGTTTCATCTATATATATATATATATCTATAGATGCACTGTATAATAGTGTAAAAGCATGGATAAGTTGATACTGTGCCTAATCCTCAAATTTGTACTAAAATTAGGGGCAATGAATATGTTTAAATCACAACTGAAATAGAAGTCCATTTACACTCTTACGGAAATGTTCAAACTGAAATAATTCATCCTTATCATATATACATAATTAACATCATTCGATAATATCAAATACTTTAATACAGTTGTATGATGAACGCAGCACATACATAGGCGATTGTACCTTTCAAAAAATGGTAAAATATAAATTCTGCCAAAAATGAATCGCAATGCACCATACGGCTGTTTCGTTCTTCTATGACTCATCGGTGATACTAGGCCAAAAAAATTTGAATTATACGAGAAAGCTTGTATCTTTACTTGAACCCCTTCAGCTTTGAATCTACTGTTCAAGAGTCAGGCTGATGTGTGACCTAATGACCTCGACTTACAGCCGACTTCGTCCGACTCGTTCCAGCAGTCAATCTCGCCATCACACATCCACTTATCCGGGATACAAAATCCGTTACTACACTCGAAATACCCCGCTGGGCATGCGCCGCTTGTTGGACCTTCAAATATATTCAAGACAATCTTCAATGTCATATGATTCCAGTCACTAAATGAAACACCGAGCTGGGATAACCTTTATTAATAACGTGTGTTAATAAATTACTAGTGCACGTGCAATATCTAATCATAACGCAATATCTTTTTCTTTTTAGTCGATAACATGCACAAAACCTAACCTAACTATGATCAATTTTGAGGTATGAGACGCTTGAAAGCCGAAAGAAAAACAAAACGTTCTTTAAAAACATCTGTAAAATTGAATTAATTTGTTCACTGAATAATTGACAAGAAAATTATTCTTGTATAATTGTGACCAATTAAATGAATATTATAAAACATGTTACATGATATTTTCAGGTGTTAATAGTTTTAGCAACATTTTCAATGATTAAGAAAATGTTGTGGGTTTTTCACAGAAAGAGATTCGTTTAAAAAACAATTTGCCAGAGAGAATTAGCAATTTCCGTTTGCATTAAGGACAATATCAAATATCTTGAATCCAGCAAATGAAATACGTTGTTTTGGAGTTATTTGTGAGAGTAGATATAACGAACTTACAGTATGAATGATGTTCATGTACCAGATTGATAAATGATGTTTAAGGGACCCTCCTTCTGTAGACTAAACATTAGATACACCCACTGATTTTCATGATGACTATTTTTTCTCAGATGATAGGGACGTGGTTCCAAGTTTCGAATCCTACTTTAGTCCGTGGCGTTTTTTAACTCTTAAAACACATATTGCTATTTTTGTGTCCACTCACAAGTCTTTTCGTCTGACCCGTCCAGGCAGTCCTGTTTACCATCGCATTTCCACGTAAGTGGTATACACGTGGACGAACTGTCGTCGCATGGCACCTGATCAGACCTGCACCCTGTGGGGATAGTAAAAATAGGAATTAAAATCTAACATAAAAATGGGGCTTACAAATGAAAGTGACGAAAATCCAAGTTGTAAAAAAATGAACACTTTCAGCATTTCTAAAAAATACATCTTAATGTGTAATTCAAACTACAGTAATAATATATTTATATAGAAAGATGTCGAACCAAATGACTAAAACTAATGATTGATCCAAACAAACGCAATACACGAAAACTTCCATTGTGGAATAGCTTACCATCTGATATCAGTAAGTAAAAAAACATGGTTTAATTCAAGAAGGATATAAAATCTATCTCTTCACGTCTGCATTTAAGGCTCTTTGCCCAGACGACATGTACACACCACCCTTTATATATATATATATATATAATATAAAGGGATTAAATGTCCATGTGAAGGAAGTAAATATAGAAAAAATAAGATTATTAACCGACTAAAACTAGCTGCTTTCACCCTTCACAGGGCTTTTTAGTCGGTCGTTAATCTTATTTTTTCTATCTATATATGCATTTATATGTATGTTTTGTAACGCAATATATAATGCTGATTTATAAGCCCGTTTTATCTACTAAATTTATAATATACTGTGTAGAAACACTTATTCAATGGTTGTAAAGCGCTTTAGAGAAGTTTTACAACTTATATAGGGCGCTATATAAATGTTTATAGGTACTATTATTATCCTGGATGAGTGTCAAATTCCACATGCAATAGACAGTGCTACATATGTCACCACGCTAATATAAATATCAAAACGAACGTCTTGTGCAAACTAACCATACCCGTTCCACATGCCATTTCCACCACCAAATTTTATTTCCTGAAAAAAAACAAAAACAAAAGAGCTTCATTATATCAACAGTATAAGTAAAGGCATTCTTTGACAAACAAAACCTAAAATATTGTAATATTAGTAATATAGTGTTATATATCAGGTCTGGATTTATATTCTTTAATATATCAATTTATCATAGATTGAGAGACACTGTTCTTCCATATACATTCATTGATCAACAGTTATTTTGTTTTTAAATCCATGCTATTTCCCCTATATTTACACATATTCAACTTTATCTTGCTGGCCTTTTTCAGGAGTTGGAATATTTGAAATCATATTTGCAGTCACGATACAGAAAAGTACCAACAGGACATATATCTTTTCCAATCGCTTCGTGGATAAGCTCCCTTTATCTTATCCCAATTGCGGAGATTATATGCAAAAAAAGAAAATCATAATAAGCATATTTCTGTCGTATATTTGATATAATACATGGGCAAGCAACTTGAAATCAAAGAAATGCCTAACAAACTAGCTTGATCTCTACCTCGTTAAAGACAGGAATGGGACCTGAATTATTTTTGGAAAAGGCATCCTCAATACTCCAGGGTTTACGCTCACTTTCGCTCTCTGCACACCTGGAATATGTCACAGCGAAATTGAAAGCTCAGTGTGCACAACCTTGACGATGAGACGAGAAGACTAGTTTGATCGTTTAATGTACTTGAAAAGAATCTCTCGGTCGCGTAACGGTAACATTGACTGGCTTTGATGTCGGATGTTGCTCCTCTGCTATTTTTTAAGGACAGGTTCCAGTCTATCGATTGGTCAGTGTTTTTACCCAAGACCAATCAAATAGCTAACCGCGTACCTTCAATTTTGCTTTGACATATTCCTGGGGTGTTGAGAACGAAAGTTCACTTTCGCTCTACGGACCCCTGAAATATGTCATAGCAAAATTGAAATCACACGGCTGGCTTTTTATTGGTATCAGGTAACACAACCTGACCAAGCACTAGGCTGATACTTTTCTTTTGAAGATTTCAGAGGAGCGACGCCCGACTTATATTAAATAAGTTTTATCGTTACGCGACCGCGAGATTCTTTTGATGTACATCAAAGGATAAACCTAGTCTTCTCGTCTTATCCACAAAGCGGTGCATACTGAGCCTTAGATTTTTCTATGACATATTCCAGGGGTGAAGAGAGCGAAAGTGAGCGTAACTCCTGGAGTATCGAGGATGGGGGAAAAGGTCCAAGGCACATATCTATGTATACAGCATAGTCATATTGCTTTACATTTGTTTTATTTCACAAACCTTTTGTGGCGCGTCCGAAGACAGAACTCTAAGATTCGAAGTAACATACTGTAGTGTTTCATATAAAAATGCGTAATAGTAGAACTTACCTTTATTATTTCGTCACAAAAACAGCGACACACGAAAATGTCCATTTCGCGATATTAAGCAATGTCTTAATTTTCGGGATCAAAAGTTTTGTTTCAACTTCACAAATTTCAAGATCATGCATGTTTTCAGTTGTAAATGTGCAGTTAGTCCGAATTATTCTGACGTTTTATCGACTTGATTTTATATCTGTCTGGCGTCGATAAAACGTCAGAATAATTCGGACTAATGTGCAGTATGACATTACTGAGTTGTAGACTTAATTAGGTCTAAAGTTCAGTCGTCGGTACAATAAACATTTCTCTTTGAATTGAATTCCGTCTTTGCGTATTGCAGAGTTATCTTCTCTTGGGAGCAGGTATTGATTGTTACGTTATTGGTCTGTGTGAGAAAAATACGTCGTTTTCTCAAAAATTGATGACCTTATTCTCACAAACAAGTGACGTAACAATCAATACCTGCTCCCAAGAGAAGATAACTCTGCAATACGCAAAGACGGAATACACCAGTGCATGACTACAATATGTATAAAAGCATGTCTATAGCATAACTACAATATGTATAAAAGCATGTCTATAGCATAACTTTGAAGACAACATTTCTGCATGATTGTTTGTTTTGGTGTTTTTTAAATGGACTTAGGAATATAAGCTTCCTTACACAACTAGTAAAAAATCGATTTTCTTCGTAAACCTTCAAATGTACCATAAGTTTGTTACACATCTCCAAATTATCATTTGTAGAAGAATACTTTTATATGCTTCATCAGTTTGGAACTCTGGTTACGATATGGTTATCAGAGAAATGTAGTATGCATCCTTTTGACAGATTTTTTTAATAGATTCACCTTTGTATGTTACAGAAATTCTGATTTAACACGCTGCACTATAGCTGAATGTTAAAATATTTTCCCAAGCGTGAGATATTATTTTTACTTTCCCATCGTTACGACATCAAACAAAACACATGCACAATATAAATTGCAATATCGTTAAGGTATATACAGGTGATAAACATTAATTTTTTAAAAGATTAATGTTATTTCATAAACTTTCACTGAAAACAAAGAAAGGTTGTGGGCAATTTGCTATTGAGTTAAAACGATTAAATATATATATATTTCCGGTAGTGTAATAGGAAAAGTATTAACATAAAAAAATATGATGCATTGGAGAAGCTCCATACTTTATAATGATAAAGGTTTTTGGTTCTCCCGTCTTTTGTACAAGTATTAGTCTTTGCTGCAGTAAGTGTGCAGGCAACATATTCAGAGTGAAAATAACCAAAATGTTCTTATGTTGGAGATACTACACAGAACGGTGGGACTTTCTTCCTTAATACAACTGAATAAAGCATAGTGTTAATTAATAAATTGTTACTTTGTGTATAAATATTATGTGTGCTTTAAACACGTTGACTACGAATGTAGGATAATAATAATTTCTTTCTTACATGGAAGTCTGATGTTCAAGGAGTTGTCTCGTTAAAATAATTTCTTCATCAAATATTAAGGACAAATCATTTCAAACTCTAATTGAGAGATAAAAAGACAACAACAGGAACAGAGGTGACACCAAATAATGTTGACTATTTGAAGCTATAGAGAACCAACCATGTATTCGTTGCCAACGTGTTTTACTGTGTAAGCAAACTATAAAAGCAAACGAGATTACAAATTCTTTTATTGGATTAAAGTTATATGGCACTTTGAATTATGCAGTTTAGTAAACGTACTTCACTACACTTATAAGCACAGTGTGATCTTTTTTAATCTGAAAGAACATTTACCTGGAGCTTGGGATGTGGTTGGAATTATTGTTGACGTCACCGCTTTCTGCGTAGTAGTAGTACCGGAAGTGGAGAGATTTGTGACATCTGTAGTCTTTGGATCGCTTGTCGCTGCTGTTGTTGCTGCTGTTGCTGTTGTTGTTGTAGCTGGTATTTTACAAAGAAATATATTGAATATTTGTTTTTTTACTGAGAAAATATCACTTCATTTATGTTTTATATAACTAAGATATTCATTATATTTTATATAAACTATATGTTATATTTTGTAATAATCAAATGCATAATTTGCACTTCAAAATTCTATATCACTGAAATGTCTTAACCGGAACACAGTATCTAGCCTAACACTCCACTAAGTCACAAACATATGATATCGGGATAAACTGAGCTGCCTCTGGAATACCATCAAAAAGGATAGAAGCCCAAGTTCTGCGGTGTGACAGCAGATCAGGGTTTTTTTTCAATGTCCCGAAACAAAATATGAAAATCGCATTTTACAGGGGACCACATATGTCGCTTCATACGATGACAGCAGGCCAATTATTTCCCTCAACTTACACGAGATTGCTCTTGGCACTAGTAAGAAGTAATAAGTCCCCCTCCCTTGAATTTTCAGGACTAAGCGTTTGCAACATTGCAACAAAATGTAGTCTTATTGTTACAAAATTGGATTCCAAGATTTGTGAAATTCTTTTATCTATGCACTTTTCATATCAACAGAGTGCACTCGTGTAATTATTGAACTTCGATTTAGTGGTGTGCAACCTATTTAAGATATGATACCTGCAGTTGTTGTCATTGGCGTGGTTGTACTACTTCCGGGTCCGCTTTTTGTCGAGCCTATGTCACACGTGCTCCCGTCTGGGCATGCGCAAATGTACCGAACCTCAGTTGATGGTGGCTTCGCGGGGCCAGGTAGACAAAGGTACTTGCATTCAAACTCGTTAGTGTAGCATACACTTGCCTCTTAAATAGGAAAATAAAACATGCGTCAGATCCAATTAAGTGGATTTAAATTTCGAAGGAGGGAAAGTAGTATTTCAACCAATAGGGAAAGCCTTTTATTTAAGAGTGGTTATTTTGTTTAGGTCGAAAGGAATATCTTAATCAATAAAGAGAATAATCCAGATATTTTTTTGAAGAAGACGTAAATATTTCATTTTAGGGAGATAAGCCCTTATATCTATAAATGCTATCTGGTGTTATAAATGAAGATATGCTTTTGAGATAAGGGGGATAATCATTCGGATAAAGGGAGTTAATTTAGTAAGCCTATATGATAAGATATAGGTGTATCGGTATCCTTGAAGTAGCACGGGTAATCCCTCATATTAATTAGCACGGGTAATCCCTCATATTAATTAGCACGGGTAATCCCTCATATTTATTAACACGGGAAATTCCTCAAATTAATTAATGGAGTTCATATTGTATTCTAAAACGATATAAAATTATATCTAATAAATAGAAAGAAGAAATGGACGTGAAAAATTATTGGGTCACCCGCCCGAATACGTTGGAATTCACCGTGTACTTAGGTTGCCTCTCACACTAAGACCTCATTTGCGGGGTTTTTGCAGGCAAACAAGAGTGACTGATATAAGTTGAAAAGACTTGTTTCAAAAATGATGTAAAATCAAATGAAATATGTAAAAAAAAAAAGGTCGACAAAGCGGGGTAATTATCATAAGAGGGGAGATAATTATCTGACTTTGGGCAGGAAATCCTGTTTTATTCACTGTATATGGCATTGACACTTACTTTGCTTTTGCAATGTATTGCTGTATAGTTTTAATCCCATTGGTTGCGTAATAGAATCCGTCACCTCGTTTGTGAAGCGTGTCACTCGACCGTCTGATTTAGTTAATCCGGTGATGCCTTTGTCTACCCAGGACGTAATGTAAATGGCGAACTACAAATGAAAAACACTGTCACAATGCTAATATTATTACTTTTTAAAATATATTCGAGAGAAAAAATTGGTAGGCAGTTATATTTTATATATTTGAACGTATTAAACAGTCCCTTTGCTGGAGGGTTAATTTGTATTTAGACACGACTTGAGAGAGTCTCAAGATAATCAAATCTTTATTGAACTGAGCATGACATCCATTTCGTCCGTTTTACAAAGAAATAACCCAAACTAGCAATAGTCAGCATTTTAGTTTCGGTCAGGCACGTCTGGACCCATCAAGTTACACGTGCCGCATGAATAGTCCTGAGGTCGGCCTCGGTTAAGATCTGCGCCTGTCGTCTTCTTTCAGATTTAACCATTTCAACTGGTTGAAACGGATACGCGAAAGGGGCCCATGCCTTACCTCCGTGATGTGTCTTTATTTAAACATTAAAGTGTTATACTCAAACATTGAAGTGAGCATGACTTACCTCCGATGTTGTTATACTCAAACATTGAAGTGAGCATGACTTACCTCCGATGTTGCTATACTCAAACATTGACCTCCGATGTTGGTATACTCAAACATTGAAGTGAGCATGACTTACCTCCGATGTTACTTTACTCAAATATTGAAGTGAGCATGACTTACCTCCGATGTTGCTTTACTCAAACATTGAAGTGAGCATGGCTTACCTCCGATGTTACTTTACTCAAACATTGAAATGAGCATGGCTTACCTCCGATGTTACTTTACTCAAACATTGAAGTGAGCATGACTTACCTCCGCTGTTGCTTTACTCAAACATTGAAGTGAACATGACTTACCTCCGACGTCGTTATACCGAAACCATGGTTAACTTTTCCTTTGCTGACAACCTTTCTGTCAGTTCCATCAGTTTGAGAAGACTCCACCATTTTGAATTTGGAATCAATCCAGTACAGTCGCCCGTCTTTCTTATCTGTTAAATACAACGAACAGCGGTTTCCGAAATATCTGAATAATTTGCATGGTATCACTGTAGAATCTTTTTTAAATATCTCATTTCTGGAAAAGTTTCTCTGGTAAGCTTCCCATGTCGCAACAGCATAACATCAATAAGGCATCTACATAAAGACATACACAAGGCTACAGTAGTTAAAGACGTCAGTGACGCCAGACATGACCATATAAGTGAAAATTGAACACACGTAATTACTGATTGTTTCGCAAACGGCGTTATAGCATGTATGTTATAAATGAATTCAGGGCTCTCAGTTGACCCTTTAGAGTTAGTTTTGAAATGACTCTTGATATTCAATAAGAGTCATCAGTTTGGAAATATGTAATATCGAAGTTGTACTTGATACACAACCAATATACATACGTATTAAACGTGTTGCAATGTTTCAAGACCGACTGGTCCCTTTTGCCAAGACTCATAGCTTGAGTAGGTCTTGAAACGCGACACATTTAATACGTACATTATTTGTGTATAAAGTAAACTTTTATATAAGATGACTCTTGGGTTTGAATTGAAATGTCTTTTTGACATGTTAACTGATCCTTAATATTTCAGGATAAATGTTACTTATTGCCAAGGGTCAACTGAAAGCCCCGTGTTGATATGTTCGCACCAATCGGGAACCGTCGGCACTTTCCGTAACCGAGCCGATACATGTGATTACAATTGAAGTGAGGTAACAAATGTACAGAATACTTTTTGAATGTTCCAAAAAGTTAAACAATACCTGATATAGGTCAAATGGTGTAGTACAAATAATTACATAATTCTATTGTCTGCATTAACTTAACAAATGTGGTGGAGTTGTTTGCACTTTCTAGTGATAATATGCAAATTCTACCTAACGTAAGGCCATTTGGCCATGTCAAGTTGGCTGATACGATTGTCTCCCTTTGCTGTCCGTTCATTCCGGCCCTTTCTATCTTAGCTGGGGTGCCCCAATCTGTCCAATACATCCACCTGCAAACGGACATATATCTATTATATCACCATAATACTCATACAGAACCACATTTTAGGGAACAGGCAAATGGTAGCTGTTTCAATAGAAATCATGAAGTAAAAAAAGATGTAGAAAATCGATAAAGTCTAATGTATTTTCGATTATTTGCATTTCGCTAAATAATCATCTTAAATCAAAGGGAAATAATTCATATGGGTTTAGGGAATGGTTTAAGATTTCCACGTCATCATTTTGAGCGTAGTCGTGACGTCAGAAATTCAGCCATTCGTCATTCTTTTATCGTCTATATATTTGTTTAACTTATAAGTACTCGTCTTTTACAAGGGGTTTATCGGAAATGACTAATACATGTTATTCTAAGTTTATTGATCCCTGTTTCATATTTCCAAAGTCCTTAAAATGGAATAAGTTATTTCCTGCTTAAACGTTCAGGATTAAGGGTAAAGGCAACAACTGGTTTACCCGTTGTCAGTATAATGTGCCCGGGCGGAATGCAATTCTGGGTGGCTTCGGTATGGTGTTTCGGTGTAACACAGCACAAATACACACATGTGCGCATACACAACACACATGGAGGCACGTCCGTGAATGAGCTTAGCTGTTAATGGGACGTTTAATCCTTTACAATCAACATAATTATATACAACTGGTGCAGCGAATTACTTTTCAATTTCTTCAACGTCTTCTAAGCAGAAAACACGAAAGAAATTTTTGATTTTATGTGTACCACATTAGTCACCTCATACGTTCATGTTGTGTTATACGTTGTTTGTATTATATGACCGGGTGTATTACTGTGCTCGGCTGCCTTCGGCGTGAGGTAGCACTCTAAATCGGCATCAGATTTGAGCAAATATACCAACGAACCCCCTCCAGTACAATCACATAACGTTGCATACGTATAAGTACGTTCTTAAATGATATGAGATGATGTTTGTTTACATTTGCTCTGCATCCTTCCATTACAATGCACCGAGAAGGCAAATGTTGTTGTGAGACTATAACAGCAATTGCTATTATGTTATCAATCTCTTTTGTGATGTCATCAATTTCACTGTTGTCAAGACTTTTAATATGCTCAAATTTGTTCAAAGATCTGTTCAAAATAGCTAAATTAATCGTAACTACTCTATCACAAAGTGTAAATATCAATAATCAATATTTCAGCAATTATTGTTATGCTCCTACAACACACGTTTCTATTGCTGACAATCTTACATAGGACCCTAACAACATTTGCTAAACATTCAATGCTTAATCAAAATGACGCTTTACTAAATAAACCCACCCAAGCCAAAATAAAACTATTCATTTAAAACATGAACTTTATTTATTTAACAACAATTATGAAACAAGTTATTTCAACTTAAATTGATCACTCTTGTTGGCCCGGTTGTTAGCGCGCGGGGAATCTTAGTGTGGGAGGAAACCGGAATACCCGGAGAAAACCACGTTGTCGGGCAGGTGACCCAATACCTTTTTTAAGTCCATTCGGGGAATTGAACCCCGGCCGCTTTGGTGAAAGGCAAGTGCTTTATACCCGACCACCCGTTCATTAAATAAATGTAGCTTTCCTCATATACTCGGTTCTATATTAAAAACCCCTTACCCTGTCAGTGGATCCACTACTATAGCTCTTGGTTCATCTAGGTTGAATTGAAACAGGGTTTTCCTCAGAGTTCCGTTGTAGTCGGTGACCGATATCTCATTCCGGCCTGTGTCTGTCCAGTATATCAGATTGTTTATCCAGTCAACAGCGAGGCCGTCCGCTGTCCTTATGTTACGGGACACGACGGTCCGTTCGTCCGTAATGGTAGACGAGGAATTCAGAAATCTTGCACTACAATGGAAGAGTCGATACCAAAAGATACAATGCATTTGGTTTTTCTATGCTTACACCACATGACGACATTAATTCTTCACCATCTAATCTTAGAAAGGACACAACTGGGTCCTTACAATTGGTAGTGGTTAATGGTTTGACCTACATCTGTTTATGGTTAATTGGTAGTGGTTAATGATTTGACCTACATCTGTTAATGGTTAATTGGTAGTGGTTAATGGCAACAACTGGTTCATCCGTTGTTAATATAAGTGACCGGGAGGAATGCTGTGCTGGGTGCCTTCGGCATGGTATTTCAGTGAGATAGCACAAAAATAATCGCCATCAGATCCGCGCTATCGCAAGGTGGCAAATAAACCAGCATACCCTCCTTCCGGGGCACACATTCATACATGCGGGCATACAGAACACAAGTGGAGGCACTGTGCTACAGTTATATCCAAAAAAAGAGTTAAAGGGAGATTACTGATTATACGGAAAACTATAGTGCAGTGGGACAGTAAACCTTAAGGTTAAGTATGACAATGTATATAGAAGATGACGAAACCAAAAGAAATTTCCTGGTTAGAGTTACTTCCCCTACCAAGTTATAAGCCTTTCTATGGGGGTTTTTCCCCAAAGGATTTGTGGCCAATACCTAACACAAGTTTTCGCGGGATTTTTAATTTTGTTCATTTCGTGGGTAATATTCAATCACTAACTCATAGGCTCGCGAAGTAATTACAGGTTCGTCTTCTAGGTTTTAGTGGGTACTTGTAATTCACGAATTCACGTACCCACGAATTGAGATTTATTTTTTGCGGTAAACCACGAAATATTGGCTCCACGTAAATATCTAATTGCACAGTATGTATTTTTATGGAGCACTTCTTTGGAAAACGTCCTAAACAAATATTTCACAGCAGTGCCAATGGTAATAAAATGGTTCATCTTGTTGGTACACTTGACCTAAAAACATATCAGACACAGAGGTTACCTGTAAATGCCAATTTGACCAACATCCGTCCAGAACACATATCCCTCTCCATAGTCGTAGTCAACGCCAACCATATTGTATGTGGTTCGGGAAGGAGACATCCGATGGGACAATGCTTTACGAGTATCACTGGATAGAGTAACCAACTTGAGGCTGTGTCTGTCTGCCAGGAGAACTCGTACATCTAAATCAGAGATCACAAAATAAAACTTACTGGGTGTCGGACATGATATCATGTATTCACAAGATTTATAAAATAAAGCTACAATTTTACTAGTTGATTATTGTACTCACGAGGTTTATAAAATATAACCACAGTATAACTACGGGTTTAATAGGGGATTACATGTACTCACTAGGTTTATAAAATATAACTACTGTATAACTACGGTTTTACTAGGTGATAACATGTACTCACTATGTTTATAAAATATAACTACAGTATAACTACGGTTTTACTAGTTAATAAAATGTACTTACTAGGTTTAAAAAATATAACTTCAATATTACAAGATGATAACATGTATTCACTATGACAATAAAATATAACTACAGTATAACTATGGTTTTACTAGGTGATAACATGTACTCACTAGGTCAATAAAATATAACTACAGGATAACTACGTTTTACTAGGTGATTACATGTTCTCACTATGTCAATAAAATATAACTACGGTATAACTACGTTTTACTAGGTGATTACATGTTCTCACTATGTCAATAAAATATAACTACGGTATATCTACGGTTTTACTAGGTGATAACATGCACTCGCTATGTTTATAAAATATAACTACAGTATAACTACGGTTTTCTTAGGTGATTACATGTACTTACTATGTCAATAAAATATAACTACAGTATAACTACGGTTTTACTTGGTGATAACATGTTCTCACTATGTCAATAAAATATAACTACAGTATAACTACGGTTTTACTAGGTGATAACATGTACTCACTAGGTCAATACAGTATAACTACAGTATAACTACGGTTTAATTAGAAATAAGTTTTTTATTTGTTATACATTTGTATGTATGTTACCTTTTAATATTACTTTACATATCATTCATGTTTTTTCAGTTAAACACAAAATGAAAAGATCGTTTTACATGCTAATGACTTACAACTTTGCATGTCCACGCCACTAACGTTAAGTATAACATCGACATCATTAGGTTTTGCTAACGGAAAATAAAGTCCCGTTACAATAATACGCGGATCGATTATCGAATTATTTGGAAATAAATATCATAAAAAACATAAATACAAAATAAAATCTATGAAGCATACACGTATCATAACATATTTGGTATACATATTTAATAAGTATAACAAGAGGCCCAATGGGCCTGCATCTCTCACCTGGTATCAATCTCACAATTGTAACCTTAAAAGTAGACTAAAATAAAGCTCAGGAAAATGTCACTGTCTTGACTCAAATTCATTCAAAACAAGGACATTTGGTTGGACAGAGTTTACAGCCTTCCATCCCAGCATGCTTCTGGCCAAATATCATTAACTTGGACCTTTTGGTTATTCATTGGAAGTTGATATAAAGTTTTAAACATATTAGACCCCTATGACCTTGAATATGGATGAAGGTCATTCGTTGCACAAACTTGGTAGCCCTTTATCCAAGCATGCTATTGACAAAAAATCAAAATCCTAGGCCTTTTGGTAATTGAGATGAAGTTGTTTAAAGGTTTTAAAAAATGTGACACCTGTTACCTTGAATATACATCAAGGTCATTCATTTGAACAAACTTGGTAGCCCCATCATGATATCATGCTACTGGTCAGATATAATCATCTTGGGCCTTTCTGTTATTCAGAAGAAGTCGTGTTAAGATTTTATACATATTTGACCCTGTAACCTTGAATACAGGTCAAGGTCATTCATTTCAACAAACCTGGTAGCTCCTCATCCTAGCATGCAACTGTCCATATATCATCATCCTGGACCTTTTTGTTATTCAGTAGAAGTCGTTAAAAGATTTAACATATTTGACCCCTGTGACCTTGAATATGGGTGAAGGTCATTCGTTTAAACAAACTTGGTAGCACTTCATCCTAGCATGCTACTAACCAACTATCATCATCCTTGGCCTTTTGGTTATTCAGAAGCAGTTATTTAAATGTTTTAAACATATTTGACCTCTTTGACCTTGAATATAAGTCAAGATCATTCGATTGAACAAACTTGGTAGCCCCTCCTGATAGCATGCTACTGACTAACTAATATTATCCTGAGCCTTATGGTTATTCAGAAGAAGTCGTTTAAAGATTTAAACATATTTGACCCCTGTAAAGGTCATTTATTTGAACAAACTTGGTAGCCCTTCATCCCAGCATGCTACTGACCAAATGTCGACATCTTGGTCCTTTTGGTTATTCAGAAGATATTGTTTAAACTTTTTTTAGTCAACTGAGACAAAGTCTCAAGTGACCTATTGCGATCGCCTTTTGTCCGTCGTTGTCCGTCGTTGTCCGTCGTCCGTCGACGGTCGTGCGTCCGTAAACAATTTACATTTTCGACTTCTTCTCAAAAACCCCTGAACCAAGTTCAATGAAATTTTGCAGAAACCTTCCATGGCCATAGGTCGATAAGATAGTTGCCGGTTTGGTCCTCGGCCCCCAGGGGCCTGAGGGGCGGGGCCAAAAAGGGGCAAATTGACTAAAATTTCAAAAATCTTCTCAAGACCAAGATATGATAGAATCAAATACTCTTCATAGATGGAAGGGTCTTAAGGTGCTTTACCAAAATTTACCATTTTAAACCAACATTTGTTTAATTGCCATTGGAGGTAATTCAATTTAGGTTAGCATTATCAGTATTGGGTAGAAGTTTGATGATATGCACATATGAGCCCTGACTGACCCCCGGGGCTATTTGGTGGGGCCAAAAAGGGTCGATTTGACTGAAATTTCAAAAATCTTCTTCTCAAAACCCAGATATGGTAGATTCAAACACTCTTGATAGATGGAAGGGTCTTAAGGTGCTCTACCAAAACTGTGAATTTTATGACCCTGGGGTCTCACATTTCCCCCTGGGGAGGGGGTAAACTTTACTATAGTTTATATAGGAAAATCACATTTTGGACCAACATTTGTTTAATTTTCATTGGAATTAATTCAATTTGTGTTAGCATTATCAGTATTGGATAGCAGTTTGATTGTATGCACATATAAGCCCTGACTGACCCCCAGGGCTGATGGGTGGGGCCAAAAAGGGTTGAATTGACTGAAATTTAAAAAAAAAATCTTCTCAAAGACCAAGATATGGTAGAATCAAACACTCTTCATAGATGTAAGGGTCTTAAGGTTTATGACCCTAGGGTCTCACGTTTACCCCCTGGGGAAGGAGGAAGGGGGGGGGGCAAAATTTATTATCGTTTATAATGGCAAATGATACTTTGAATATTACATTTATAACCCTGAGTTGACAGTTTGATACTTTGAAAGTTTTGAGCCAAGTTTGATACTTTGAAAGTTTTGCCCCAAGGGCTGTAGGGTGGACCCCAAAGGAGTCAGTGTGCTAAAATCTCTTCATTTTCCTTGTTTAGAATCAGAGTTGCTAGTTTCAAATACTTTTTAGTCTTAAATCTGTATGCTAGATATTGAATAATGTGGTTTTGTTGTTTTTTGTCACTGAATAATATTTCTGTTCGTGTTAAAAACAAAATCAACTCTCTGTATAAATATATAGGGTGACCGTTAAGGCCCATGGGCCTCTTGTTTAAGACAATTGACCCCTATGACCTTGAATATGAGTGAAGGTCATTCATTTGAACAATCTTGGTAGCCCTTTATCCCAGCATGCTACTGGCCAAATACTATCACCCTGAGCATTTTGTTTTTTAAGAAAAAGATGTTCAAAGATTGTTTTACATATTTGACCCCTGTGACCTTGAATATGGATGAAGGTCATTTATTTGAACAAACTTGGTAGCCCTTAATCCAAGTTTGCTTCTTGCCAAATTTCATCATCCTAGTCCTTTTGGTTATTTAGAAGAAGTTGTTTAAAATAAAATATTGACGCCGGACGGACGACTCGCCATGGCATAAGCTAACTTGGCCCGTTTCTATGTATGTTTTATGTTATCTATCCAAAATTACGCAAAGAAATAGACAAGCATTTCCCTTCCCATTTGTCATACATATTTAACAGCATATGTCGATTACACGTTAAACGATTTTTTTAGTTATACGATAGATGTTGGTTTAAAGCTATTTGACAACATGTTGATAATAAGTTGAAGGTTTCAAGTTATACGATATGTGTTTATTTCAAGTTAAAAAAACCCATGCGGATTTGAATAAAAAAGACCTATGTCGTTCTCATGGCGGATAACGCGAAACAAATATTGTAACATATCTTGTGTCTCACCTCCAGGTAAACACTCTGCTTCATCTCTTCCGTTGAAGCAATCTTTGATGCCGTCACATTCCTTCGCACCATCAATGCAGGTTTTTTTGTCACATTCAAACTGATCGGCAGAACATGTTGCCTTCGTTGTACCTAAAAAGAAGAGAGAACCGAAGTGTCAACAAAATTGTAATTCAAAATCAAAATCAAAAGATGAACAAAGGAAAGAGTTACAAGGATACCCTTTAACCCTTTCACCACTGTTGACCATATTGGACTTATCCAGATCAATGCATGGTAGAGTCTACTAAAGTTGCATAGGGATGAAAGGGTTAAAAAAATCCTTACAATTAAGGGCCGTTATGCATTTTTCCTTCTGTTTCGACATTAGACCAAATTTGATTTATACCTTTTTGGGCCTTAAGCATCAACGATGAGTCCTTGAAGGAAGAAACAGCTGTAATATGTAATAATGCCATATGTGTTACATGTGTGTGTCTTACTTTCATGTTTGAATAACCTGAAGAACCTTTGGCGTGAATAATGACCTAGGAACGTTGCTACAGTATTTTTGTTCATATTTACCTTTGATTTTATAATACTTACACAAGGACTCGTTATTCTTTTATTGCATATTATATATATACCATTGTTTATAAAAAAAAATGTCATATATTTTATTTTACCTGAACATGTAAACTAACCATTTGCAGGATTTACAGCAGTGGATACGGTAAGTATACTTATTTTATGGTGCTTTTCGCACTTTAAACCTATTTAACGTTTCTGTCTGTATATTGTTTTTCTATTCCTGATATTGTGAGTGCGTCAATTCTTGAATGCACTGATCTGTGAAAATGCAATATTTCGCTAAATATGATGTCCGTTGTACTAACTACTCTCACAGTATATTCTGCTGTTCATTTATTTTCAAGAAATCCATTAAAATCTATGTCTAAAATGAGAACCAGCTTACAAGTGCGACAAAATATAATAGTTTGGATAAAAGAAACCCTGGACGTACAGTTTTGCTCGTCTGAGTGATCTACGCAGTCCATAGCCCCATCACATCGCCAAGTTTTGTGGATACACATGCTGTTTGATTTACACATAAACTCTTGGTCTGAGCAGGTTTTGTTTGTACCTAAAAAAAGAATTCGAGTGTAATGAATTGTACAAGAAGAAGAAAAATATATATATACTAGCGGATAAAAGAAACTGTGCATGCCTGAAATGTGTTATAAAAATAAATGTGTGTGACGTAGAACAACAAGGTTTTCATGGACAATTTATTTGGTATTTATTAACAGTTGCATTCCATTTTCTACGTTATGGAATCAATAAGTTCCGCTCAGGTGTGACGTAAACACAGCAGGGGTCAATACTAAGTTCACAAAGTTAATACCTGGTATGTCCACCGTTTGCCGGAATGCAAGTCTGGCAACGTCGACGCATGGAGCCTATCAGACGGTTCAATAATGCTTTTGGGATGGCCTTCCAGATCTGTGCCAACGCTGCAGCCAAATTCGCCAACGTCACCGGTTGATTCGGTAATGCCCGTAATCTGCGCTTCATTTCATCCCAGACGTGTTCAATGGGCGACAGATCGTGGGATACAGCAGGCCAAGGCAACACGTCAACGTTCTGCTGGGCCAGAAAGTCCATAGCGACACGAGCTGTGTGTGGCCTGGCGTTGTCCTGCTGTATCGTAATGTGACGTTGCTGCCCTTGCACGGATGGAGCGACGTGGGTCCGGAGGATCTCGTCACGGTAACGTAGCGCGTTCAAATTCCCGTTAACAACCACCAGAGGCGTTTTCCCGTTGGCTGTGATGCCGCCCCAAATTATAACGCTGCCCCCGCCGATATAACGTCATTGTACCACACACGCGTCACGGAAACGTTCTCCAACGCGACGATACACTATGGAACGACCTTCACTACTATCCAGGTGGACTCGCGACTCGTAAACAAAATGCCTGCCCAATCCCGTCGAGTAAATCGGAGATGCCTTCTGCACCAGTCCATACGTGCTACACGATGACGTGGCAGAAGAACTGGGCCAAAGAGTTGAAAAATAAACTTTCATTGTCGAATTGGATGGCTGGACCAGAAAAACGTGCAAACTGGTCAACGCCTATAGAGAGCAAACTGCACGGGAAAAATTGTCAATGACACACGGATAGTGTGTATGTGTCATACTCGGTCATGTGTGTGAATTTTCATGTTGTACAGTTGGTAATACATGTTCTAAAACAATTCTCCGCATGCACAGTTTCTTTTTTCCGCTAGTATATATAAATGTATATTTCACGGTAAAGAATAAAAATAAACATACAGTTCTCTTCGTCAGAATTATCTCCACAATCGTCGTCTCCGTCACATCTCCACCTCATGTTGATGCACTTTTGACTGGTTTTACACATGAACTGTGTTGGTGAGCAGGTTATACTTGAACCTAAAATACATACATTCACAAGTTGAATAAATGATACAATAAAATAAAGTTTCAAATTTTATTTATTTATTTTATTTATACAAGTATTATGATTGTTTATAAAAGATAGGTTTTAATTTTATTTATTAATCTATTTTTATTTATTTATTTAATTTACTACTAATTTTTATTTTATTTTTATTTCGTGTAATTAAATCCTGTTTTATTCAGCAAATATTATCAACAAAGTATTTTCACAACATGTGAAAAAACAAGAGATTACCGAAATATCAACAAAGTATTTTCACAACATGTGAAAAAACAAGAGATTACCGAAATATCAACAAAGTATTTTCACAACATGTGAAAAAAACAGAGAATACCGAAATATCAACTAAAACATAATTCGATCCCAGACTCGGTAAAAGTATGCAATATATGAACAAAAGAAAGATTTACAAGGGGTCCGACACCCTTTAAGGATAAGTAAAGAGACGGAAAATGACGTCAAAAATCCGAAACAATCAACACATGTCGACTTACAAATCATTAGTTTGAATTATGCAAAAGAAGTTGATTTCTAAGACAAAACAATGTTAAAGATATAAATAATAATGCGTAATGTTAGCATAAATATAAGACGAGAAATTTCTCGATAAACCAAACGTATTTAACCGTTCAAATATTTCACCATATAATTAATTCAAATCAAGATTATGTTAGTAAATAAGCATTCATAGAAATAGAGGTTCCCCGACGAGGGTTGACTGGTGATCTTGTTTGTCTTTCTCGAGTTAGTTAATTTTCAAATTGTATAAAGACACTATGTTTACCGAGTGTCTTTTACAATTTGAAAATTAACTTACCAGACTTAGATAAATATATGACAATCGATCATCACAAGTTTGGGGACCTTTTTCTCCAACAACATTCAGATATGATATCTAGAAAATCATTTGTTACGTAAACTAATGTCATGAACTATGTAAGATGATATCGCAAAGCATTTTTACTTGACGTCATCATTGGAAAATTGGGCAGTGAAATAACGTCCAGGGTGTCACCCACTAGTGGGTAACCAAAAATGTTTACCAACGCATAGTAGGTTTACCCAATGAGTTGGGAGTAGAAAAACCCAATAGTGGTTGTGGGAGGAAATGTGGTATTTTTCTTGCTGTTAGACACTTTAGAAGAAGACGCGTGTTGCCGTATAGTAGCCTATATCATAGAACGTTGTTATGTTTCTTGATATTCTGTGAACCATAATGCTGTAAATTTTGAATCAATACAGATGGATTTTGGTGTAAAAATTGAACAATTTTTTCAGGGAAAACGGGTATTGTGTTGGGTTTTTTTTTTAATAAGGCGTTTACAGTAACTTATTTAACATTTACGAGATGTTAAGGTATGCATATGATATATGGTACTCACAGTTGATTTCGTCAGAGTTATCTGAACAATCCATTCCTCCGTCGCATTGCCATTTACTTGGAATGCACTTTTGAGAGGATTTACACAAGAACTCTTTGGGGGAACATGTTTTATTATGATGATCTAGAAAAACCAAATATCATAAACCATATCATATTTGATAAACATATATTTTATGAAAAAAAATAACGGCTATTCAATACTACTTAAGCTGAGCAGGGGGGAAATCAGAATAATTAAACCAGTAATTACAAAAGATATCAGAAACGAAGAGCAACGGTACGTTTGGAGTAAAAATGTTTGACCATCATTACGTGTAATCTGCATTTCCTGAACTGTCGGCCATTGATTGGAAATTATTCCATATTTATTCGATAGTATTTGAGAGCAGTGAATCAATGTATCGATCTCATAAAATGATAATTCTTGCATTAACAAATCACGTATATTTGCATATACAATGTACATAAAGAAATGATTTTTACTTTATGAAAAAGAAATTAATGAAAGAAAGAAAATACCGAGGTGTCAACAAAACCACATTTAAACTAAAAAAACGTGATCATAGGAAACATTTACAAGGAGACCCGGAAGGGTAAGCGTCATCTTTTTCAACGACGACACTGGTATGTTAATCTACGTCAAATCCAAGTACTATCACTTCCTCTCGACGAAAACTCTGGTAGTGACAAGAAAAACCTAAGGCACACTAATGAGCGTATTTAAAAAAAACCCATCAGACTTCATATCACACAAAGAAATAGCGTAATTCCGAATGCGATCATAATAGCGACCGTTCAAACTTGTCCATAGTCAACATCAACCTGCATCTTTTTAAAACCCTGTGTTGTAAGTTTGTCCGTCAGCAGTCAACATCTATCACAGAAGTCATGATATTCGGAGTAAGCTACTGAATACCAAATCAATTGCGACATGCAAATACCGTAGGTAGGGGAAGTAGGGATGTTACTGACAATAAAGGAAAGGTTCACGGTCGGAAAATCGAAATCATCCCATTTATCGTACATCTTATTAGTAAGCTGGCCCTGACGATCACGCTGTAAGTAAAGAATGATCAAGGAAAGCGGCTGAACTAGAAGAGTCAGGAATGTCTGTCAAGTATAATTTAAAGGCCGCACATCGTCTTTATGTTTGAATGTGAAATGGAAGGACTCGGATAGGTGTTTGATACTAGTCCTGATAAGGTTATCAATAAATTCAGCCACGTATAAAATCAAAATAAATCGGTCAGAAAATGGGCACAGTTTATTCCCATATGAAAGCCTACATTCTGCTGGAAAAAACTTGTCACCTGACTCAACGAATTTGTTGTCGATCAATCTCACTACATCCTTTTTACGTTTGATATCATATATTGATATCGCCGTTTGACTTTCTTGGAAACAAAAACTCTAATTATTAGAGAACGAATGCGTGCCTTCAGTTTGGTATGGGGTATGATGATGTAATGAGTCGAAAAGTCAAAAGTTTGAAAGAATAGACATTATTGAGAAAAGGACTTTCAAGATTGTTTTAAATGTGTTTTGAATTCTTCAAAATCATCGTTCCATTGATTGAATACAGCGTCAAAAAAATTAGGGACACCCACGTTGACAGTATTCTGTCTAAATCTCATTTTTCCAAAACATTTTCTTTGGGTTTCATAATGACCTATTCCAAATTTTGAATTGGAAGAGTTCAAATGTGTCTTCAGGGGTGAATGAGTTAAGTGAAGACTTTATATATCACAACAAGCGAACGCTTTTGTGTTACGTTTCGATGACTAGTGATATATGTACTCATGTCACATACTGTATCCCAAAAAAAATCGCTGCAATTGAATTTTCGCTTTTATTTCGCCCTCAGTAATGAAGGCGAATTTATCATTACAGCGAACATTAATAAACAATATAAAACATAGTGATTAAATGTGACGTGTGAAATTAAAACTGAGCTCATTTGGATTTTACTGACGAACGGCAAAAGTTTGACTGGGCGAAATTTTCCCGGTATACAGTACATCTGACAGATATAATATAATGCGTTACTTAATATATCAATATCAATGGACACATTTCCGAGATACAAACAAAATTATCATATGAAATATGTTGTTATTGTGTCTTCTGAAATGTCACTAGATTTGAAGCAATTTCAGCGATACACAATAAAAATAGCACATTTAGTAAGCAGCGTCGTAATTTTCGCCGACATGACAGTTTCGCCTAATTGAGGAGGGCGAACAAAACGAAAAACAAGAAACACTCTAAAAAATTTCAAAGCGTATAATATTGTTACCACAATTGGCCTCGTCCGATCCAGATATGCAGTCTCTATCACCGTCACAGACCCATACCGACGAAATACATTGGGACGAATTGGCACACAGGGTCAAGCCCGGACCGCAGGTGGTTGGTTCACCTGTTCAACACCGAAAACACTTTATATTGGCCTTCCCATAATGCTTTGTACTGATTAAAAAGTCATGAAAATGTTCGGACGAACCTATATTCAAAATGAGAAAACATAAATAAAACGTCCTCAATCATTTCTCATCTTTGATAGCACAAAATTCAATCGGTACAAGGTTTTTTTTCTCCAATTATTTCAAATTAAAGAGATGCATACATCTACATCATTTATTTTCTTATATAAGGTTTTTTTCTCAAAAAAATCAACGGAAAGCTCACGGAAAGATGTGTGTCTACTATACTAGCATTTCTTGAATTATGAAAGTGTCGATGGAATCCTTTTTGATATTCACTACATTATAATAAATAGAATGATTCGCACCTTCTAATCGCATAAAACAATTGTAGGTATGCAACGAAACTGCCTATAAATACATATATCAATATAAACAAAATTGTTAAAATTGACAAAATGCAAGTTAACTATAAATCTATATATGTATATTGCACATGAATATACACACAAGTTTTTTTATGCAATTTCAATTTATCAGAACTACTTGCAAGTTTATGCAAAGCGACATATCACTGCAACGCCTTAAGCGTGAAGAAGCTGGAAGCAGCCGAGGGTTTAATTTAAATAAGGTCATTCCTTTCGACATCTTGATGCAGTTCAATGAATGGAATACATCCTTTTAAATGTGTAATTTTCGTACACATTGAGAGGGCATTTGGCAGTCTGGTTTGGTGATTATTCTGGAGTGCCGATGAAACAACATGGCAACACAGAAATACTTATTCCAATCATAATGAACTACTTCGACATGACGGAAAACTTTCTGTGAGCAGAATACGAATTTGCGGAATAACTAATAAGAAAAAGTATGTGAATAAGGATAAAAGTTAAAGAAACTGGCCTACTTAGGGGAAAAAACAGGAAGAGGGGACGCCTAAAGGCCAGCTGATTTTAGTGAAGTAGTGTCAGAAATAAAATATAACAGCAAATCTTGGACCCAACTGGAGGCAACAAATACAGACAAAACGCAAGGAGGATTGCAATCAGCAATAGACTACATACGTGACCATATATCTTATTTCATTTATGATTAAGCCGACACCACGCTTTCCTCATCCTCATCAATTGTAAACCATCTCACCATATACGTACGCAATTAACGGGTTAGGGTTTTCCATTTTGATGAGTTATTTAGCAGACAACACAACAGCGCAAGTATTGATTTCTTTAAGATAACAGCTGATATTGCAAGTTAAGAACCATACTGTGCTATTCTATTTTCTCTCTGGTGAAGACATCATCTACAAGCAGCTAGAACAAGGTTGTTTACTTCATCAAACAATTATCTAAACAATTTACCTTTCAAAAAAAACCAACATTATTTACGAAAATGGTATCAATTGGTAATTCACTGACTATGACATTATGCTTGAAAAGCTCGATTCAGGTTTTTTGTGTTTTTTTGCAAACCTAGTCGATGGTTCTTAATATCCAATATCATCTTTTAGGCACGGTATACGGAACTGAACACGGTATGAGTACATATCCATACAGTTAACTTCGTCTGTCTTGTTGGGGCAGTCTGCATCACCATCACACACCCACTTCCGGGGGATACACTTCGTGGTATTTGCGCAGAGCACCATTCCTGGTTTACACGCCTTGCTTGAATCTACTTTAAAAAAATGTGCATTCAGGGTAAGATAACTTTAAGTAAACATTTATAATGCTATATTACGTGACAACATACAATATAAGTAGTGTTAATTATAATGAAGACGTACTGTAAATGATAGCATTTTCGCGGTGTAGAAATGTTCGCGTTTTTCGCGTTAAGTAAATTGGCGCAAAAATATAAACACCCAAATATTTTATCGCTATTGTTTTGTTTGTTTTTGGTTTAACGTCCTCGCAACAGCCAGGGTCATATGAGGACGGGTGACTAGGGAGACAACAGACAGGGTCATATGAGGACGGGTGACTAGGGAGGCAACAGCCAGGGTCATATGAGGACGGGTGCCAAGGGAAACATAACAGCCAGCTGGGTCATATGGGGAACGGAGACTTGTGAGACAACAGCCAGGGTCATATGAGGGCGGGTGCCTAGGGAGACATAACAGCCAGTGTCATATTAGGACGGGTGACTAGGGAGACAACAGCCAGGGACATATGGGGACGGGTGACTAGGGAGACACAACTGAGGACGGGTGACTAGGGAGATATAACAGCCAGGGTCATATGAGGACGGGTGCCAAGGGAAACATAACAGCCAGCTGGGTCATATGGGGAACGGAGACTTGTGAGACAACAGCCAGGGTCATATGAGGACGGGGGACTAGGGAGACATAACAGCCAGGGTCATATGAGGACGGGGGACTAGGTAGACATAACAGCCAGGGTCATATGATGACGGGGGACTAGGGAGACAACAGCCAGGGTCATATGGGGGCGGGTGACTAGGGAGACAAGAGCCAGGGTCATATGAGGACGGGGGCCTAGGTAGACATAACAGCCAGGGTCATATGATGACGGGGGACTAGGGAGACAACAGCCAGGGTCATATGGGGACGGGTGACTGGGGAGACAACATCCAGGGTCATATGGGGACGGGGGACTAGTGAGACAACAGCCAGGGTCATATGAGGACGGGTGCCTAGGTAGACATAACAGCCAGGGACATATGAGGACGGGTGACTAGGGAGACAACAGCCAGAGTCATATGAGGACGGGTGACTAGGGAGACATAACAGCCAGGGTCATATGGGGACGGGTGACTGGGGAGACAACATCCAGGGTCATATGGGGACGGGGGACTAGTGAGACAACAGCCAGGGTCATATGAGGACGGGGGACTAGGTAGACATAACAGCCAGGGTCATATGATGACGGGGGACTAGGGAGACAACAGCCAGGGTCATATGGGGGCGGGTGACTAGGGAGACAAGAGCCAGGGTCATATGAGGACGGGTGCCTAGGGAGACAACAGCCAGGGTCATATGAGGACGGGTGACCAGGGAGACAACAGCCATTGTCATATGGGGCCGGGTGACTAGGGAGACACAACAGCCAGGGTCATATGAGGACGGGGGACTAGGGAGACAACAGCCAGGGTCATATGAGGACGGGTGACTAGGGAGACAACAGCCATTGTCATATGGGGACGGGTGACTAGGGAGACACAACAGCCAGGGTCATATGAGGACGGGTGACTAGGGAGACATAACAGCCAGGGTCATATGAGGACGGGTGACTAGGGAGACACAACAACCAGGGTCATATGAGAACGGGATTTAGTCAATAGATTATTAATTTTATTCAATAGATTATTTATTCAATATATCATCTATTCAATAGATTATTTATTCAATTATTTATTCAATAGATTATTTATAATATAATATATATAATATATAGACTAAAGCTATTGCCGAAGTGAAAATTTCCACACCGCGATCAGTTTAAAGAATCAGCATCACGCGAATATTTCCTCTTGCGAGAATTTCTACTTTCAAAGTATTTTAGGTTGTTGATTCAGGTAAAATTTGTACTTTTAAGCCATCTGTCCTAGACACTTGTTTACTTGTATAATATCTTAATGAGCCGAAGTGCTTTGACGAGGGTATATATTTCCGCCGCTGTTGGACCCTTTTTTTCCAACGGTAATGTTTAATCTGGTTTATGGTGAATTTATCATTTTTATTAATCACAGAGTAAAACATCAGTAAATAAGGCATTATTTTGATGAGTTATTAAGCTGGGCTTCTTCAGCTTAAAATAGCTAAGTTATTTAAAAGTATGAACATTTTGCGAATATGTGTATCTGTGTATGGGGGCTGTTTTCCGGTGACCTTTAAGCACTATGAGCCCGGAAGTCCGTGCACCGGATGTGTGTCACTTCACTAGTCTCGTTCAACCAGACGCTTGATCATTTGTAATTCTATTCGGCGTAGCTTGCGCAGGCAACAAGAGTCTGGTTGAACTAGACTAGTAACTTCACTGGCTTCCCCCTGTTATCACGTGACCGTAGATCAAAGGTTGATGCACTCGGGGTTAATTGATACTTGGCAACATTTAATTTCAGTAGTAAAAGGGTCATCATAATAGCTCTATATCTTAAACATTTATATGAAAATCCATCACTTATGATTGTAAAACAAAATTCTGAATACATGAAACGCCAAAGCTTTTTTTCTGTGATCATATATGATGTGCTTCTGTTAATATATAATGTGCATTTGCCATTATACGATGTGATTTCGTTATTAAACAATATCATTTAATCATTATATGATGTGACTTTATTTTTATATCACGTACTTTTGCCATTATATGATATGATTTCGTTATTAAACAATATTATTTAATCATTATATGATGTGACTTTATTTTTATATCACGTACTTTTGCCAGTTTATGATGTGATTTCGTTATTAAACAATATAATTTAATCATTATATGATGTGACTTTATCTTTATATCACATACTTTTGCCAGTATATGATGTGATTTCGTTATTAAATAATATCATTAAATCATTATATGATAGGACTTTATTTTATATCACGTGTGTGTGCCATTATATGATGTGACTTTATCTTTATATCACATACTTTTGCCAGTATATGATGTGATTTCGTTATTAAACAATATCATTTAATCATTATATGATGAGACTTTATCTTATATCACGTACTTTTGCCATTATATGATGTGATTTCGTTATTAAACAATATCATTTAATCATTATATAATGTGACTTTATCCTTATATCACGTACTTTTGCCATTATATGATGTGATTTCGTAATTAAACAATAACATTTAATCATTATATGATGTGACTTTATCTATTTATCACGTACTTTTGCCAGTATATGATGTGATTTCGTTATTAAACAATATCATTTAATCATTATATGATGAGACTTTATCTTATATCACGTACTTTTGCCATTATATGTTGTGATTTCGTTATTAAACAATATCATTTAATCATTATATAATGTGACTTTATCCTTATATCACGTACTTTTGCCATTATATGATGTGATTTCGTAATTAAACAATAACATTTAATCATTATATGATGTGACTTTATCTTTATATCACGTACTTTTGCCATTATATGATGTGATTTCGTTATTAAACAGTATTATTTAATCATTATATGATGTGCCTTTTTTATATCACGTACTTTTGCCATTATATGATGTGATTTCGTTATTAAACAATATAATTTAATCATTATATAATGTGACTTTATCTTTATATCACGTACTTTTGCCATCATATAATGTGACTTTTTTATATCAAGTTCTTTTGCCAGTATATGATGTGATTTCGTTATTAAACAATATCATGTAATTATTATATGATGTGACTTTTTTTTATATCACGTACTTTTGCCATTATATAATATGCTTTTAACATGATATAATTTGCTTTTGTCATTTTGCAATACGCTTTTGTCATTATATGTGATTTTGTCATTTAACCATGTTTTTTGTCTCCATTAACGAATGTGTTTTGTCATTACATAATGCGATTTTCTCAATTAATAATGTTGTGCTAATGGCGTGCTTTTGTGATTGTGTGATGTGCTTTTCTCAATTTATTATGTGCTTGTGCTAATGACGTGCTATTGTCATTATGTGATGTGCTTTTTATGCCCCCGCCATAAAATGGGTGGGGGGGCATATGGTGTCCCGTCCCGTCCCGTCTAAATTCAATGTAAACACTTAGCAACTTCATTCTTTGACAGATTTTGGTCAAACTTTATACAAAGGTCAAGTATGTGTATACTTCGGACATCGTTGTATTTCAGGGATCCAAGGTCAAGGCCAAGGTCACACTTGCTATATATAGAAAATCGTCCCGTCCCGTCCCGTCCCGATTCAATGTAAACACTTAGCAACTTCATTTTTTGACAGATTTTGGTCAAACTTTATACAAAGGTCAAGTATGGGTATACTTCGGACATCGTTGTATTTCAGGGATCCAAGGTCAAAAAGTTTGAATTTGATGTCACCACTTGAATTGTCTCCGATTACACTAAATAAATAACAGAAAGACCAAAAAACAAGTTCTGGATGGAAAAATATTCACTTGTTTTTTTTACTTTTCTAAGATTTTTTTATGCTTTTATACATTTAAAGTCTTTATAACAGAACTGTGAATACTTTTAAACTAAGTGAAATTGCCATAGCATGAAATATGTATTTACAAGTTTTTCGTGCATTTTTGGACACATGACGCATGCGTACTATAAATATATTATCAACAGCTGGCGAAACGAGGCAACGTGATGAATGCCCCAATTCAGACATGTCTGTCCTTGCCTGGTTTTTGTAATCATGATGTTATAGTTTCTACTTTTGATATATTATTATTACAATAATGACAAGAATCCCTAAACGTGATAAAAAAAACAACACCAGGTAAAGGCGGCCAACACTGTAAAACATAATGTTGATGAATATTACATGAACGCAACCTAATTTGTAAAGAGATTAAATGTTTAGTGTTGGAGTTCAGTGAAAACGTTTTTTTGTGTTTTAAACATATTTTATTGTAATTTATATACAATGGGAGTTGGGCACAAGTTTTACAACTTATACTAAGCCCTTTCCCTACAATATATTACTACAAATTATCAAGATGGCATATAACATATATATTTACATATTTAATATTCAAGTTGAGTTTATAATATACATTTAACGAATGGTTTTCTTACCGACAATTTAACATAGTTTCCACTAAAAAAAAAAGTTTACAAAAACTTTTGAATTTGCTTGTATATATATTGGTGTTGGCCCGTGTACAATTAACCGTCTCTGTACACGTTTCCGTGCTACTGGGTTAATTAGTTTCCGATCGTCCCAGNAATAGAGCAATTGCGATGTTGATGGGTGAGCTCTACTTTTACTTTACACATCAATTGTTCACTAAGTGGGGCGGGGCAGACCACAGGCGGGGCAGACCACAGACACATTTGCCAGCCGAAATATGCATGTGGGTATAGGGTGAATACTCAACTGTTTCAATGTTATGAACTAGGGACTAAGTCACCAGAGGGCGGGGCTGAAACCAGAAGCCCATCTTAATAGCATTGATGTGTTCGTTTCTACGAGCCAGGAAAGTGTGTGTATGGTTATGGTGTGGGGATTACAACCGATGCCATGATGTGTCCCAGAGACAAAGTCCTAAGAGGCGGGGCTGGACCCCGAGGCTGATCCTAGTAGCATGGTTGTATATACTATATAACGTCCAGAAAAAAATGCATGTAGTTTTAGACTGAAGATCTCAAATATTTCCAATAAATGATGCAGGAAATTAAAGAATTTTGAAGGCAAAGTTGACTGATTGAGAGACGGAACGAAAAAGAACAAACGGATGAAGACGCTGCGCCACGGCACAAGCTCACGTGACAATACGTATATACGGGTCATGGGATTGTCGTTGGTGTTTATTACATGCACAGCCTGTATAGCTGTCATTGTTTGTAATTCCGGGGCGAATTTATTACACTCGCATTAAAACATGTAATTAACTCAATGGATATTTGTTTTATCTGCAATCTGCTTGAAAACAGTTTAAAATCTCAAAAAAAATATTAAAATGAACTGTTCATCACAGTCAGAAGAGTTCGTTCAAAGGTCAAGTTCATTTTTTAAAGCAGATTTATCCATATTTTGCAGAAATTACTTCCTGCGTGAATTTTACGTATATGTATTCTTGAGATTCTTCGAAAACATACCAAAAATTGTTAAACGTTTTTTTGTAAAGAATTTAGTTTGATTTTTTAAATTAATTCGTTCAAATATCAGAGCCCATCAAACGATAAGATCATACATAAAAAGGACACAGTAGAAAAAACGTTAATGGCAGGGGTAAAAAAAAAACAAGAAAAAATCAAGATCTAAAGTATTGAGTAACAATCCTTGCAAGAGATCGATCGTCGACATAAAACGAGACATAAAAACCGCAAATTCTGAAGGGTGGTAATTAAGTCGCCACATATGATAATGTAGTGGAATACAGCAGGCTATTTTCCCGACACCGAAAGGGAATATTTCTTTTTAATTGATAACTCATTAATTAAGCTAACACGTTTTGAAAACTAAAATCATGTTTATAAAATGCTTCTATACGTTTATGAAGCGTGTTTGCTGGGGAAATGTAAACATCACAAATTGCATAATGATGAATTAGATCAACAATCTGAAGTCCAGGGTTCGAATCCCGACCTGGCTTCGCAGATTATTTTACACTCAAAAGTCCAAACATATTTGTTGATTATATTTTGTTTATTTCATCTCCATTATGTTTTCGTAAAAATCCCGCAAGGTATATTTTTCTTTTCAAAAATGATCTACCAAAGCTATAGTCATGCCGAAAAAACAAGTTTCGAATGCATAGTTTCTTATTACCAGTTGTACGAGGATCTTTAACGCAACTGAATCAGTTTTAACAAGAAGCACTGCCTTAAGGTGTCCTTAAATCTGTTGAAATAATATTATTTTTTTACTGTGACAATACCGTCACTTCAACACCGCTAGTATTATGTAATTCTTATATTTAAATTATTAATACCTTGTAATATGTAATATAAATGCACGCATTGAACAAAATTGTCATTTTGTAATCTTTCCTCATAAAATCCTTTTAAATAAATGTAAAATTAACAAAGGAAATCTGACAAATTGACATTAAGCAGGCATACACACATAGGGAGATATTAGCCAGGTGGTATAGGACTAGTAGTTAGCGCCTGATGAGGCAGCTCCTGTTCATATTCATATTGCCTATGAATGCCAACTGAAAGCAGTTCAATACTTACATTTACCATTTTTGGAATCTGTTTATCTCATAAAAAAAATAATTACACTTATCATTATTCAGCATTTAATTCAAATAATGTCTGCATGACGTCAACAATCGTTCCATGGCATTCATAGCCTATATGAATGCCAACTGAATTTAGTAAGGTTATATAGTGACAATGTCATACGATGGTAAATATCCACATATGTAGTTACATACAGTTTATCACCTAATTTATGCGAATAGTCATTTTAACGAATATTTATGATAAGACATTTTTCACTCGGAATTGAGTTCGCAAATTTCATAAAGAGAAAAAAAAAAGGTACAAAAAACAAAGAAAGCATAACTTTTGTTTACTTAATTTCTGCATAAACAAACATCCGAGAGAAACACACATCCGCCTCAGGTCTTTACTCGCGAATAAACGCGAGATATATATCGCCGAACATAAGTGTTTTGTCGCGAGTGTATATCTTATGACACCAGACCCGGTAATGATACATTTTATGTTGACATGCAATTTACAACCTAAGCTCGTTAATTTTTAGCAACTACTAATCCCGTTGTTCCACTTTCAAACTTGTATTTTACTGGAGAAATTGGATTTTATGGTTTCTATGCAGTATTTTCCCAGTAATCCAGCTGTTTCTGAATCAAGCTTCTTTTTTTTGAAACGAATTCGGCTTGATTACTATAAGATCAATTGCATGTATAACATGTAATAAAATGGGCGTTTTACATGAATACATAAAACATAAAAATTAGTTAAAACAGAGTGTAAGGTAAAATATATATATACGCTTAAGTAATGAAAGCAATATGACAAACGATTTCACCTAAGATTTCATACTTAAAGGACCAGGGGCGTTAAGGGTCATTTCCGGCCTCATCGGGAATTTAGATTTAGTTGTTAAATATGTAATCTGGAATGAATGAAATACGAAAATATGAAATCCCATATTCATTCGACAACTTGTTTTGCAGATATGGTATGACAAAGAGAGACATAAAATAAACCTGCATTTTTATGATAAAATGCGTGAATATCGTCTGATGTGTGTTATTTGGTTAAAAATTGGCCATTTTGAAGGAAATTTACAAAACACTTTCCAATTTTTGAAAGCTTCCGCATGCAACAAACCAACATTTGACGTGCTTAAACATTATCATACCTTAGTTCATTCGTAGAAAAAAGATATTTGTTCGTCACATGCGGAGGCTTTCATTTATGCATCTAAACTTTCCAAAAACAACGTATTTTGGCTGTTTCGGCATAGCAACGCAATTTTGTTGCTATGGTAGGGCATCTACACATGCGCATTGGGAAAAAAATCTGCACCAAGAAAGATAGCCCCAATGAACCTTTATGATGTTTATAACAGAAATTGGTAAATAAATTCAAGATGATTTTTTTTTAACTTTTTATGAGGCCAGAAATGACCTATAACGCCCCAAGTTCTTTGCTTTTCTCGAATAATTTTACTTTTGCCCATAGTTTATTAAAAATATGTTATGATAGTTTTTCTCATAAACTGGTTATTTCTGTTAAGTTCAGGTACCTCCTCAATATATTATCAGTAATGAAATTTACGTTATGAAGTGATTTTTTCTTTACTAATAGGCTTTTACTTATAAAACTGAAATAAAATTCATGAAAGTTTTCTTTTGTTACATAACAGTATAACTACATACTACAAAGCCAGCTATGGAAGATTATTATACATGCATAACAAGCTGTTTATCTAGTACACAAGTATACATTTTAAACGTTTTCTGATACTTGCTTTGTAAGCATTTTCATCAGGAGCACGCAGAATGCATTTTACCTTTCCTCTTAAGGGAACAAATTCTAATGGACAACATTTATAAACATTTGTATATGTCTTACCTGGCTGAGTGTAGGAAATAGCGATGAAATAAGAGAAGAATACAGCGGTAAGAAGGTACGTCCCAACAGCCATGTTGACTGGTCTACAGTGTATATAAATAGATGTGTATGTAATATTTATAACTCGGGGATGGAGCATCCGGTACAGGACAGTCTCATCCTAGATAAGTTAAGTCCCCTCTGTCTGTTTCTCCATTTTGTCACTCTACGAATCCGAAGTGTTTCTGTCTCTCCTCATCTCTGTCTGTCTTTCTGTGTCTCACCCTGGATCAGTTAAGTCCTGTCTGTGTCTCAATTTCGTCTCTCTACGAATCGGAAGTGTCTCTGTCTCTCCTTATCTCTGTCTGTTTGTGTGTCATCCTAGATAAGTTAAGTCCCCTCTGTCTGTGTCTCCATTTTGTCTCTCTACGAATTCGAAGTGTTTCTGTCTCTCCTTATCTCTGTCTGTCTTTCTGTGTCTCACCCTGGAAAGATAAGTCCTATATGTCTGACTGTGTCTATTTTGTGTTCTATGTGTAGTGGGTCTATCTTTCCGCCCGTCTGTGTATCATCCTGGATCAGTTAAGTCCTACATGTCTGAATGTGTCTATTTTGCATTGTCTGTCCGCCCGTCTGTGTCTCATCCTGGAGCGTTTCAGTCCTGTCCGTCTGTTTGTGTCTTTTTTGTTTTCTATTTGTTGTGTCTCCGTCTGTCTGTGTCTCATCTTGGATCTGTCTGTCTGTGTTTATTTCATTTTCTCCCTGCACATAGTGTCTCTGTCTGTGTATTTGTCTCCCCTTGTTTCTGTCTTGTGTCTCTATTGTTTTTTCTGTGAGTGTGACGTGTCTGTCTCTCCTCGTCTCAGCCTGTCTGTCTGCATCTGTTTCTCTTTGTCAGAGTCTATGTCTGTGTCTCTCTGTCTGTTGAAGTAGTTATGACAGGGAGGGCTGTGGGATACGGTGGAATATGAGTGAGGGTTATCTTACTGCTTTTTTCTGACTCGGTATATATGTATGTCTCTCTTCACACACACACATATCTATGATTGATTGATTGATCGATTGATTGACTGATTGGTTTTACGTCCGCTTCACTACCGAGAAGGACGAAACAGCTGTATGATGCATTGTAGATCATTTCTGGCACACACTATCTATTACCAAATGTTTTAGGCGCAATCGCACGTGCGTATCTTACATTCATCTAAAATTTAAAAATAAAATGGAGATGTCTCTTCTTAAAATAAAAACAAATATCTCTATTTCAAATACAGTTAAACAGTATTTTATATATCAAAGTACAAATATTGATATTTCAATTAGAAATGCTTCGAATTTATATGCGGATTTGCCTAATTTCAGATATTTTGTTATTTAAATTCACATATGTATAATTTTATAAACAGATACCCTTCTGTATTTTTTTTATACAAATATGTTTAAATAGACAAACACCCAAAGAGCTTGTCATGTGTTAACACTCAAACAGCATTGTTTCAGAGCAAATACGTCGAAATGGAAATCGTTGAAAGTGCGATAAAGAAAGTATGCGTTGATGTCAATTTAATCAATGCGACTTATGTGTAAAAAATGAATCTTGGGTAGGTGGGTGACGTACATAGAAATACTGAGAAAAGCAGGCGTGTCAAGGAAAGGGCGTTTTCGTGCTATATAGGAGAGTTAATTTTCCACGAAAAAGCAAGCGGCCGTTTCATATGATTATGCAACCAGTGTGCGTGTCGAAAGGATCGGTCTAAATGCTTTACGTACACGTGTTTTCCGGATATATATGCAGAATATTGGTATGTATTCTGTATTGTTAAAAAATAGTTGATGGAATATTTTTGTTTTGTATTGTTCTGACAAAGGTAATCGAAGCCACATATGTACTCTCCCACGGTATACTCACGCTCGCTAAAACGTCGAGGGGAAAGGTCACATTTCAAATTATATACATTTGTTATTTTTATGGTTGTCTGACATTTTAAAGTATTTTTAACAAGACAATGGACTACGGGCGTTAAGGGCCATTCCCGGGATCATCAGCGATTTAGAATTAGTTGTTTTATTCGTAATCTGGAATAAATGAAGTACACAAAAATTCAAATTCATCCGACATCTGGTGTAGGAGATTTGACATAATAAATACAGGTATTTTCACAATAAAATGCATGAATATCGTTAATTGTGTGCTTTTTACGTTGAAAACTGGCCATTTTGAAGCAAATTAACAAAATACTGTTCAGTTTTTGAAAGCCTCCGCATGCACAAAAAAATGGCATGCTTAAACATTGTCATACCAGTGGTCATTACCAGTGGTCATTACCGTCATTACCAGTGGTCATTACCGTCATTACCAGTGGTCATTACCAGTGTTACCAGTGGTCATTACCAGTGGTCATTTATAGAAAGGACTATTTCGTTGTATCATGCGGACGCTTTCATTTCTGCATGCTAACTGTTCGAAAACAACATATTTTGGTTATTTCTGCATAGCAACGCAATTTTGTTTCTATCGTGGGGTATCTACGCAAGCGCAATAAAATAAATCTGCACCAAGAAAGATAGCCCCAATTAATTAATATGATGTTTATGAAAGAAATTGGTAAATAAGTTCAAGTTGAAATATTTACTTTTTATGGGACCTAAAACGACCCATAACGCCCCAAGTCAATTATGATCAAGTGTATTCGTGAGAGAAAGATCGTACAATAAATAACGATAGTCTAGGTATGTGAAAAATGATAGATAACCGAAGGGACGACAAAACCGATATTTGAACTCAAAATCGGTAGCACTGGGGCAAAATATGAACAAAGGACAACTTTACATGGTGTCCCTAGAAGAGGGGAAAAGGAGAATAAGTCCAGGTGTGCCGGAAGGGTAGGCGCCGTCTACTTCATTAACGACACCGCCATGTAAATCTGGATCAAGTGCAAATGATATCATGTCGTCACAGCGAAACCTGGAGGTATTGACAACAAAACAACAACGCACGCTAATGAAAATTATCAATAATATCGACCTTCACATAACACAAAATATAGCATATCTGAGTCAGATTATGATGGCGACCATAGCATGTGTCAATTTTCTTTATTAACCATGTTCCATTAACCTTTATCTTTTAAACTCTGTGCTGCTTGTATCATATGTCAACATTTATCACGAAAAATCGTGATATTCTGAGCAAACTCTTAAATATCTAATCAACTGCGACATATAAACACCGTAGGTTTGGGACGCGTGGGTGTTACTATCCAGAAAGGGAACGAGCACGATCCGAAACTCGCTTATTGTACAGCTTAGTATTTGTTTTAAACATATTTTATTGTAATTTATATACAATGGGAGTTGGGCGCAAGATTTTACAACTTATATTAAGCCCTTTCCCTACAGCTTAGTAGTGCGCTACCCTTGCTAAATGTCGAAAAGGGTCTGAAGTGGAAGAATCGGTAGTATCTTTCGAGAATACAGTTACCTCCCTTTAATGTCCGTTTGAATACAGCAGTAGCACAGTTGGGACTAGCACACTTTCCTGGACCAGATAGCGCTGTGGGTTAGAGCGATAGGCTACTAAAATGAAGTGTCCCAGTGTTCGAATATCGGTCTAGCCCCATGCTGATTCTTTTTTCATCCATAACACTGTTGTTAATTACATTTTGTTAAAAGTCCTGCAAGGTATATGGTTTTCCCTTCAGAAAAGATCTATTATTAAAGATATAGTCATGCCGGACAAAAACCAGTTCCCAACATTTAGTTATAGTTTTTGGCAGTGATATGATCGACCTTGTCAATAAATCTTGAGAATTAAATATAGCACATCAAAAAAAAAAGAAGAAAATAGCACATTTCAACCAATGACGTAACCATCAATACACGCTCACAAGAGAAGATAACTCTGCAATATGCAAAGACGGAATAGGCAATCAAAGGTGACCATTCCTTACTGGATAGAATTTTAATAGAAATATCTTACATGTCTGAAAACGAATTAAAGGTGACATCTTTCATTTAAATTAGTTTATCCCCTGAAGTATATGAGATATCCATTTTGTTTTAATTTTGTGTTTTTTTTGTGTTTTTTGTTTTTGCAATAACTATAAGTTATTGTGGCTTGAGTGTGATTTTATTACGGAATTTTCAATTTGCTGTTATGCAGTTTTTCAGAAACCAGTAAAGAGAGGCACAGATTGAACGCAAGTAAAGAAAGAATACGACATGTGAGCTTATGAAGAAAGACAACTCCTTCCATCCTAGACTAACTCAAGGACGATAACTCTTGTTTCCTTGATCACATAGGAACCGCTACAAGAATTATTTTGACATTTGAATCGAAATATTTCCAAGTATTAACTAGAAATGTTTTAAGTGAGCGGTTGATATTTTTTAATTACATATAATGGTGTTCGCTAATTGTGCTTGGACAGATAATAAATTAAATGAAAAGAAACATATCGTGTTTTAATAATATGTTTGATTTCTTCCCCATTATAGCACGTATTTACAAAAAAATGTATAATGTGACGTCATTGCACATAAAATGCATGTTTTTAGTTGAAATGAACGTCTTATTAAAAAAATATTTAAAAAAAAATAACACACAAAAAGAGTAAATAGGAAATAAAAACCTTTGTCATTTTGTCTTATCGTTTTAATTGTTGTCAGTCATATCACTACGTATCCAAGCCTTGCCTTTGTTCTTGTTACGGTATCAAATATTAGCATTGAACAACAGGTGTTTAGCCGGTCGATTTGGCTTGTGTTGTGTTTAAATGAAATTCAATATCAAGGAAGTTACCCACAAAGATATTTGATTGTGTCATGTCTGTTTGACATATCTGTTTGGCTTGTATATCAATAAGAAAAAATAATAGAACAAAACAAACAGACGGACAAATAAACAAATACAACGTAAAGGTATAAAGACAAATATTTTTGACACAATTTTAAACAAATGACTAGTTAAAAGGTCCATTCGGGAAATAATGCAGACTTATATAAATGTATTCTACTTCCTTGAAGTACATTTCTGCAAAGTCTACCAAACTCGCCAGCCTCTGGAGTGACAAAGTAGGATATTAAAAACTAATTTAATGTTTACTACACGTCATTTACTAAGTTATTTCCTGCAATAAATTTAAATAATATTATTTGAAAAGGGAATGTACTCCCCCCCCCCCCCCCCAAAAAAAGAAGAAAATAGCACATTTCAAAATTAAATGTAGGTTGGAGAAAAAGTGATCGGTTATACCCTGATTATCAAAATTTCTTACCACTTTCGCGTTCTGGAACGTAGAGAGCAAGGAACGTAATGGGACAAAATAATAATAATAATAAGTGTCAACAAATGCTTAATTGAAACTAGGGCGAAATATGAACAAAGAAAATAAATTACATCGAGACCAGTGAAAAAGTACACGGAGAATAAGACCAGGTGTTCCGGATGGGTCAGCGTCTTCTGCTTCATCGACGATACCCGCCATGTAAGTTTAGGTCAAATCCAAGAATTGTCACGCTCTCAAAAGGGATCGAGAAAGATGATACTGAAAGAGTTAAAGCAAATAGTATTAATTACTCG